ACACGTCCTCTTCACCGCTCTTGGTGTTAGGCACAAGGTGAGGGCTGTTCAAGGTGGCAACTCCTTTTCGGAATCGGCCCCCGGAACTGGAAGACCTATGGAGGGGTGCAAATATTTTTGCGACTTGTGTATCCTGGACCTTCATTCGTTGCATAAATTTTTGCGTCCCTTGAGTGTTTCGTAGCAGGCATTTGCTGCTCGGGCATGTTTCGGGGGGAACAGGCGCAAATTCGGATTCGAGCATCTTTGCCTATTGCGTCGGCTTCTCTCTTCTCATATAGTTTGTTGCGTGGAAACACGCGGAAGCATACCCGCAAAACGGGCGCAAATACCCGCAAAACGGGCGCACATACCCGCAAATCCAAATCAGGTAACAGTTGGTATTTTGCAAGAAGCAAATGTTCATGAAACGAGCGTTTTTTGAGGAATGAGCACTTTTTGGATCATTGGGCAAAAATAGTTGGCCCGAGCAGTTTTTTTCCCTTTCTTGACACAAACTTATGAAGGTCCAGGCTTCTTGAACCACCCTCGGCGCCTGGACAACTTCAGGAATCCAACTATAGCTGCTCTGAGCAGAGTCCAAAAGTGTCCAAGGCACAGGACCATGGCTTTTCCTCCAAATGCGCGGCTCATCCCTTTTCGGTTGCTTTTAAGCGGAAACCAAAAAAGAACACCGTTGCGTCATTTCGGGGGTTCCAATCCAATAAGAAAAGACGGGGCGTCAAATGGGGCGTCAACATCAAAGGCGGTTTTAGGGCTCTACTTACAGCCAGCTTCCTTTTGGTTAGGTTACTTGGAGGTTGGATGTATAGTTCCCCCCAAACGACTTGTGGCCCCTATGACGAGTTTCCGGAGGGAAGGAAATCCCATTAGTGTTGTCACGGCATTTTTCACCCTGAGCCACCAGAGGGTCCATTTTAAAGGAACATGGTCTTCCAGGACCCCTCTTTGTCAATGGATGGGAGGGTATCTTCTATGATTTCATGTGTGGAAATTCTGAGAAGAAAAAAGCGGGGGAAAAACGCTTTGCACGTCCGAAGGCCCATTGGCAAGGCAGATGTGAGCAAGATCCTGGCAGCTGTGTTCGAGAATCAACCTGTGAAGCCTTCCGGCTAATGCCGTGCGACCGCAAGTGCTTGGCTTGCGAAAGACGGGCAAGTGGTGGATGGATCTCGGGGCTTCTCCAGGGTTTCCTCCGTATCTCTTTTTGGAACCTCCAAAAGTGGCCATCGTTTCAATGGACACCACCACTAAAGTGATCAGCTGTTGGATTGGTGAAGTCCAGTGAACCCCTATCCTTGGCTCACCCGCAAGAGCTCCCTGGAGAAGACGAGGCCTATGCCCTGAAGAAGATCCCCGTGCAAACGGAGGATGGCGAGGGGGTGCCGTCCTAAGAGAAACCGCCGCCTGCCCCGAGCCGACCTTGGGACGGATTTTACGGGTCGCAGTGTTCGAAGCTGTGCCTTACCGCTTTTTTTTGGGTGGTTTGACGGGAAGAGCGAAAGGAAAAGCGTCTTGGGGGGTGGCGAAGGTCTTCTTTTTCGGAGGCTTGGTACCCCTTGTGTCGTGTTTTCTATTGCGAAGACCACAAGGACCACCGTTGCGCCATTTGGGAGGTGGGGCGAGGCGGTCCAAGAAAGGACAGACTCACATGTGAAAAGCATTAGGAGCATTGGGAGCGGTTCAGGTGCCGGCCACAGCCATCCGCGAGGCGCGCAAAGGGGAGAAAAACTGGGAGGTTTGGGGAATGATCCTATGTTGACCTGCCTTTGACACGCAGACCTCCGATGGACACACCTTCAGACTGGAATTGGGTTTGTTTTCCAAAAGAGGGGGGTGTTGCTCCCCAAAAATGGTGATATCCCTTTGGTGTCCCTTTAAACCAACCCTTAAGAATGGTACTCTCAAAAAATGGAACCACCCGCCCTGACACACTTGGCGGTGTCTTGTAGCAGTTTCATGTGGTCCTTCGATCCGAAGACAACGGACTTCGGCCTCACGGCCGGCGATCGTCGAGCCTTCGGCAGTTGGGCTAATGGAACCACCAAGTGCTTGGCAATCCCCACCCAAATGGCTATGAATTTCTAGTCAAAAAACCCCTCCCAAATGGTTGGTGGACATAAATCCCCACCTAAAAGATGTCCACCACAAGGGCCCCTCAGTCAAATTCACACCTAGATGATGCCCAGCAAAGGGTCCCTGTGGAGAATCACAACCATTTGATCATTTAGCAGCAAGACCTTTAGAGTTGAAAAGGCAGAACCAAAGAAGTGAGGCTCCTCCCGTAAACCAAGATACGATTGATGCATTTCTCTCTCATCCCTTGTTTGGCAGGTGTCGCTGCTGAAACAGTGTGACCACGAGAATGTGATCAAGCCGCTCGGCTCCTTTCAATGCTTTGCCTTAAACTGGGGGAAATACGTTCCGTGTTCCAACCTGGCGTGTACGTGGAGAATCAGGGTTGAAAGGCCCCTGGTTGCTTTGTGAACCCAAAAGCGCCAAGTTGGCTTCACTGTTGTTGGCGTGTTCTTTTTTTTTTTCTTCTCCTTCTTCTCCTGTTCTTTTTTCTTCCTCTGTTCATTCTTGGTGGGCTGCAAAAACAACCGTCAGCTTTTTGCCCCTCAGTTTTTTTTTTGCATCATGTTTTTAGTCCATCTTTTGTGGGCAAGGCAAAAACAAAAAACGCCGTCATTTGCTTTTTGCAAGCCGTGTGGGTCGGGCTCCCTGAGCCGGGCGGAGGCCCGGGCCGGGCGCATCGGCGCATCTCGCAAAGCTCGAGCTGAGGCTGTGGGAGGTGCTGTCCGGAGAGCGCGCCTTGTACCTGGTCTTTGAGCACATGGACATGGCCCCTGGGCCGATTTCGATTTCGGGCCGAGCCAATTTCGGGCGGGCGAGCGAGCGGTCCAGGGGTCCCGTGTCTGAAGTCTGGGAGGGGAAATCGCGTCGCGTCGCGCTGGGGGCTTGGGGCTGGGGGTTTTTTGGCCGAAAAGAGGTGGGTTGCCGGTGGTTTCTGGCAGGCAGTTTGGGGGAGTTATGGAGCTAGTTTTGTTAGGAAGAAACCCACTGGGTTTAATGTGGCCTTGGCGTAGTCGAACAATGGAACCTCTAAAAGAGGTACTCTGCGAACCAGGAACATAGGGAGGAAGCGTTTCGTGGGATTTGTTTGCTTTCTTTCGGTTGACGTGGGCGAAGCCCAACTCGTGATTCACAAAACCATGAATAGAAGGCCGCCATGAGGGCTATCACACCTAGGATCCTCTTGAAAAGCCGGCGGGCGCCAGGTTCCAACACAAACCGAAAGGTCCATGAGAGGCTTCCTCGCGGGTTTTCCCCCCCCCCCCCCCTTTTTGCCGAGGACTTGCGGGTCTACCTGAAGAGGAGCCGCCGGAGGGCGTGGAGTTGGCGAAATCGGGTTCTGGCAACCAGCCTCTGGTGCCCTCCAGCTGAAAGCAAGAGGTGTTTCCAAGCAGGTTTTAAGGGGTTGGACCAACCCTGACTGAAAATGAACATGAAGGGTCCATTTTCATTGCCACCTAATCTGTTGCATTAAGAGGCTTGTTTCCTTGCAACCCTTCCCACTCCTTCTGCTTGCTGGTGCAAGTGCATATGTATTAAACAACAGACATGCATGTACAGAAATATGTTGGAGACATGCGTATAAAGCTATTTTGTATATATATAAACATACCAGTAACGTCCGGCAGAGCCGGGGGGGGGGGGGGGGGGCAGGTTTGAAAGAAGGAAGAACCCGAAACTGTTTGGAGCACTCTTCTTTTCCTTTAGTTTTCTTCTTGTCTCTCTTTCTTCCTCTTCCTCGCTTCTCTTGCTTTCTCTTTCTTTCTTTCTTTCTTTCTTTCTTTCTTTCTTTCTTTCTTTCTTTCTTTCTTTTTTTGTTGTCCCTCTTTCTCTCTCTCTCTGCCCAGCCGACAAACATTGAACACTGCAGCAACAGAGTTTTTCGAGACGGACCCCCCTCAAAGTCCGCAAAGGATTCTGCGTGCGAAGTGAAAAACGTAAAAGCAAAGAACAACAATCGCGAGCTGGTTAGGGCCCACCCGTTGAAAGTCTGCAGAGCGTTCGCCTTTGGATGGTTGAGCAAGCTAAAAAACGTAAGCGACCACGACTTTGTTGAAGTTGACCCCCCGAAAGTCCGCAGAGTCGCGTGTGCGAATCAATTTTCTAAGAAAAACAAGTCTTTGCGTGTCAACCCCACGAAAGTCCGCAGAAGGTTCAGTTTTTGCAGGTTGCCAAACAGTCGTTTGCATGTTCGCTACGTCAAAGCCACCGAGTCGAGCCTCGAAGAACGAACCTTGGAAGTTTCTAGCTGGTTGGAAGGGAGCCATTGCGGAGCCAGGATCCAAATTGGCCTTAGAGGGAACCAAGGACCAAGAGCCTTGTAAGGACATGGTCGGTTTGGGCCTGTCTTCAAGAATTGTTCTGTTTCTTTCTGGTTTCCTTTTAAAATCTCAAGGTTGGTGTTTCTTTGTGGTTTTCCTTCAAACCCACTCCCCAGGTCGCCTCCCCCGAAGAAACAAAAAGACCACAACGGGTCCACGCACCCGTGTGGCGCGCAGCCGACGCCGCGAGCGACAGCGAGGACGGGGCCCTTCGGAGCCCTCGCCCTGAAGAGCGCCGCCCGGCAGTGCGTGAGGCGAGAGACCCCGCCTGCTTCGCGTTTGCTTCGCTGCGCCCTGGGGGGGCTCCGGACTTGAGGGTAATTACTTGGCAGGTTATTGAAAAACACCCCGGCGAGTTTTTATGTACTGTGTATACATAGGCATACGTACATAGACATAGACATTGTTTTTGAGCGGCTTGTTCGCCGGACCCGCCTCCATTTTATGCCACCGCGTCAGTGTGACCGCTTGTGCGACTCGCCATGCTCAAGTCTTATAAGCCTGACCATGTGAAGTCATTTCACAAGATTACCCCAGCTACAACGAATCCATAAATTGCTAGTCTCCAGTGGTTGCAGATGTTTCTCATCCAGGACGTGGTTCAGGCATCAGGCATTAGGCATTAGCCGGGCGCCATGGTGTCGCCCGGCGCGGCCAAGAGGAATCTGTATGATGTCATGGGCGTGGCGCGGGACGCGGCCTCAGCTTTGTCTTTTTTGGAGGGGTTGGCAGAAGATCGGGGTTGGGGTCCAAAATGGGTGTGTCCTTTTCTTGCTGGTGCCCACTAGGGAATGAGAAATGGAATGACCCCGGCTAAAACCATCCCTTGCGGTTTCCTTCAAGGGGACCCCTGGGGTTCATTCCCGCACTACTGAGCACCAGCAAGTTTTTGGGGGACCCTGCCCCCCACAATGGTGGCTTTCCTTTTGGTGTCCCTCCAAAACCACAAACCAAGGGGAGCGGGGGCTCAAAAAAGACACGCCCACATCGTGTTTTGGAATTTCAAGCGAACACCCTTCTGGTTTGCACCATGTCGGTCCTTGGATCATTTCCCAAGTGGTCCCTTAGAATGCTGTTGCTCCGACTAGTTCACTTTTGGTGGAGTTAGAATACCATCCCTTCAGTGGTTGTGTCAACATAAGACTGACCCCCCAAACTGGTGCCCCTCTCTGACTTCCCTCCTAAACCAGCCCTGGCAAAAATCAGGCACCCAGCCCCTTAAAAAAAAAATTGGGGTACCCAGCAACTCACATTCCCCGAGGCCCATGAGGCGAAAACTGGACCATCGGACCGGGAGATTCGCCCCGTTCGAATCCAGATCTGAGGATGCCAGCCTCTCCGCCATCCGGGCGGCTTATCGGAAGCTGGCGGTGCAGCTGCATCCCGACAAGGGCCCCCGCCTCGGTGGATTTGTTTTTTGTTGGGACGCCAAGGGCTGAGGCGTGGTGTGCATGGATGTGTCCTTTTTGTTCAGTTTGCTTGAGAAACAAAAGGGGTCTGGTAGACCTGTGACCTCCATGTGCTGAATTATTTTCCAACCGGTTGGTTTTAAAGGGAATCGACTTCACTATTGGACATATTTTCGCATTTTTTCTAGGCGAAAAAGCAAATGGAAGGTGAGTGTGTCTTTTTGTGAGGTTCCTTTCTTTTATGGTGGGCTATAAAGAGACATCAAAGGGAAAACAACTCAATTGGGGGGGGGGGGGTTGTCAAGAAAAAGACACACCCGTGTCCGTGTGTCACTTTTTCTCTCTTTTTTGTGTGGGGTTGCTTTGCGTTGGATGCACGGTGTGTGTCATTGTTCTTTCCGGGGGAGGGGGGGGGGTGCAAACAAACTGTGGTTTTCCTTTGGGTTTCCCTCTAAGCCGAGCATGAAAAAAGGGGTATTCGCCACACAAATCCTGTTTTCAATGATTATCTTTTTTCTTGGGGGGGGGGCAGGTTCTCTTTAAAGCTGATCCTTGACCCGCACCCCTCTCCCCCGAGTAAAACACAGATCAGGGGTGCGTTGTTGTAGGTATTTCTCTTTCGTTCCAAATATCATGGTTTTCCCTGCCCCTACCATTTTGTCAGGCAAAGTTAGCAGCTAGAACTCTCGAGCTGTTTTTCTTCTTCTTCTTCTTCTTCTTTTTTGGCCTTTTCCAATGGGGTTCAAAAACCGCCCCCTCAGAATAAATGAGTATATATATACATATGTCTATGTATATATGTATATATGTGCATATATAGATACATATATATATATATATATACATGTATCAATGAATATATATATATACACATATATACACATTATTTCTATATATGATAATATGTATAAATGAAATATTTTTTCCCCCAACAGCTGAAAGCTTTGGGGTCTCAGCCCAGATAGGCTCCGGGGTGGTTCGGGGCGACCCTGAGCTCAGGTTCCACCAGGGTTCCACCAGGGGTTCCACCAGGGTTCCACCAGGGTTCCACCAGGGTTCCACCAGGTTCTGCAAGGGCGGGGTGGTCTGGGGTGGTTTGAGGTAAGGTTCCACGAGGTTCTTCGAGGGCTGCAGGTTTGAGGAAGGTTTCACGAGGCTTCCAGGGTTCCAGGCTGCGGGGTGGTTTGGGTGGTTTGAGGTAAGGTTCTGGGGTGGTCTGGTTTGAGGAAGGTTCCACGAGGGTTCCACAAGATTTCCATCAGAATTCTGCCAGGGTTTCACCAGGTTCTGCGAGGGCTGCAGGGTGGTTTGAGGTGGCTTGAGGTAAGGTTCCACGAGGGTTCCACCAGGTTTCCACCAGGGTTCCACCAGTTTGTCGTGCTCCGGACGAGGGTTCCACCAGAGTTCCACCAATTTGTTCGAGGGTGCGACGTGGTCCGGGGAAGGTTCCACGAGGGTTCCACCAGAGTTTCATCAGGGTTCCACCAGCGGTCCGGGCTGGTTTGAGGTAATGTTCCATGAGAATTCCACCAGGTTTTGCAAGGTAAGGTTCCATCCCAGCACGGTTCTAGCAGGGTCCCACGAGGTTCTGCGAAGGGCTGCGGGTGGTCCGGGGTGGTTTGCGGTAAGGTTGTATGAGGGTTTCAGGGTTCCACAAGATTCTGCGAGGGCTGTGGGCCCTGAGGTTTCACAGGGTTCCACAAAGCTTTGCAAGGATTCCACACGGGTTCGACAAGGCTCCACAATGCTCCACCAAGGGTGTGTCGTGCGCCCGTCGTCTGAAAAGCCATCGGATCAAGATCGCTTTGCTCATGGGCGGAACTCTAAGCAAAACCGAAATCAATGGTTGTTAGCACACTTTCACTGTTTTGTGACTTGCTCACTTGCTCAGGCAAATGTTGGCTTTGTGGCAAATCAGATCACGTCGCTGCGGAACTCACGGTGCAGCAGAGTAAATGCTTGGCATTGCTGCTTGGTGGGCTTTGGGCTCCAAGAATTCCACGAGGCTGCAAGGGCTATGAGGTCAGAAGGTTTCCACCAAATTCTGCAAAAGCTATGGGGCAGCCCTGAGGAAAGGTTCCAGCAAAGTTTCACGCTGAGCTCCACGAAAGTTGCGTGAGAACGGTTTGCGAGGTTCGCCGGGCCTGGGTCGGGGCCCGATTGCACTGTCAGGGCCCGCCCGATTGCACCGTTTGTGCCCGATCGGCCCCGATTGCGCCATCGCGCCCCGATCGGGGCCCGACTCAGTCAGGCCCCGTCAATTGTACCAAGCTGGCATCGCCTAGTTTTGCTATAGATACAGTTGCAATCCGCATACTAAGGAAAACCGGCGTTGAGCTATAATATGGGTGGCTGGGGTTGCACCACGGGACGATCGGGGCCCCTGGCATCGCCTAGTTTTGCTATAGATACAGTTGCAATCCGCAGTCACGGGACGATCGGGGCCCGATTGCACCGTCGGGCCCCGATCGGGCCCCGATTGCACCGTCGGGCCCCGATCGGGCCCCGATTGCGCCGTCGGGCCCCGATCGGGCCCCGATTGCGCCGTCGGGCCCCGATCAGGGCGAGATTGCGCTGTCACTCGTAGCTTTGCTTTACAAGGCGGCATCCTCAGCAACACCGGCGGTAAGGATGGTCCCGGGGCGTTCCGCGAGGATTCTGGGAGGGTGTGGTGCTGTTGGGGATATCGCCCAAGCTTATTTTTTTTTAATAATACACACCTCTAGATGTAAATGGTGCTTTCTTCCCTGGTTCCTCCCCTTGCACCAACCCCAGCAAGGGCCTGGAAGACGGGCTGTGGGCCGCTCCGCTCGCTCTCCTCGCTCCGCTGAGGCGGGGACCGGGAGGCCTTTGCGGAGCTGCAGGCGGCCTACGCCATCCTCTGCAACGCTTCTCGCCGGTTCGATGGACCCGGGCTGGGTGTTTTTGAGGGAAACCGGATTTTGGATGGGTGAAAACCACAAACCAAAGGAGAACCACTGATATAATGATGTGTCATCATAGGTTTCCTTTTTGGTGGTTTTGGTCGAAAAATAGAGGGCGATCCCTGGTATACCTGGTGGTTTAATCATCTACCAAGAAGCGAAGCTGTTTCCATGATTAGAGTTAGGCCCAGTGAGAGAATGTATATTTTATTGTTTGCTTCACTTTGAGTCACTGGTAAAATGTAGAATGTATCCCAAGTCTACCCCAGTTTCATGGTGAGTGGCGAAAAGCTTCGACTTGTTGTTGATGTAGTCAAGAGGTTAAACATTAGCCCACTCTCCAATCGGCCCTTTTGGCATCCTCTTGAAAAGGCAGCTTCTTCTTCCTTCATCCTTCACATTCTGCAAAATGACATGGTCCCACTCCCCTCTTTTCAACAATCCTTTTGACGACCCCCCCCCCCCCCGCGTCATGCTGTGGATGGACAAACTCCTGCACCGGTTGGTATTCGATTTATCGTACGCATAGGGGTTTCATCCGTCACTGGGTCACTGGTGCCTGACATGATTATTGTCCACGGGTTGTGGGATCACTCCAGCTTTGTCCAACCACTGCTGTGATACTTTGGGGAATCTCCCTCTGCATGGGGGTTCGTCTTTGGGAAGTGCTGTTCGTTGTGTCACAGAAGTGCTCATTTCCCACAGCCCTGTTGACCAGGTGTCCAAGCCAATCCTGTTTTTGGACAGGGATTCGATGGGAATCGGTCGGGAGGGATCGGGGGTTCCGAGCCATTTATCTGGCTTTGGAAGTTTCGTGCCATGCTGAATTTGTGACTTGTTTATTTCAATTGGACCGGAGGTCGGGAGGTCGAATTGATTCGCCGGGGGGGGAGGAGGTGAAAACCGGGGAGGTGAACCAGTTCACCTCTTCCTTCTCACAGCCGAATGGTGTTGACTCCCAAGTTGGAATCCTGGATCGGACATGTCCGAGCCATGTCCTTTTTCGGAAACACCAAAAGTGCTGATTGTGTCACTGGAAGCCACCAGTAAATTGATCAACTTTCGATTTGGGGAAATCCAGGCAGCCGCTGTTGTTACGGATCTTTGCGAAAGTTGGGAAGCTCCTTGACGGTTTCAGTTTGGTTTGTTTGGTTTCCTGAAGACATCGGTCCCAAATGCCCAAATGGCCACCGAGGTTGCCTTGAGACAGCGGTACGACGAGACCGGGAAAACCGATGTGCCGGACGAGGCCGGCAAAACGTGCTTGGCGCGGAGCCGGTGTTGTTGTTTCGACTGCACTCTGAAACCCTCTGGAAAAACACCAAACCTGGTGCGTTACTTCACTGTTGTTGGATCATGTTTGAAGTTTTTTAGGTTTTTGGGTTCCGTTCATTCTTTCAGTGGGGGGCTACAAGAAGCAACAATTTTTGCCATACCAAGGGTTAAAGATTCAGGGGGCGTTTTCAAAGGGATCCGGATTCCTGCTAAAATTGGACGGGGTTTGTTACTTCTATCTGCACATCTGGAATGAATTTCGGGCAAAGGGGTTTGGGTTCGGGACCTCTTCGTTGGCTCAGGTGCGCAAGGGCCGGCGCTTCGACGACTCGGCGCACGTGCCCACTCCTCCCAAGGAGCTCGTGCCGCGAGTGGCCCACGAGTGGCCCGCTCGGTGCCGTGGATTTTGAGTGCTCACCATTGTGGACACCACTTCAAACCCATATCCGTTTGGTGCTGACCTTGCTTTCACCATTCAACCAGGTAGAACCAGGGTTCCACTTGGTTGATTATCAAGATAGACTTAAATTCAGGGTTTCTCCTGTTTGGGGGGGAACGAAGCACCAGGTTTAAGTCCACCCTGGGTAGTCAACAAGTGGAACCCTGATCAGAGCGGATGCCTCAGGTGAAGACAAAAAGAAAGACAGAGATGACCATCGTTGCCTCAAAACCGCAGCCGAAACCCGGGTAGATGAAGCTTAAGGCTTAAGGGAGAACCCCCTTGCCATAAATGGATGTCTTCGCCAGCTTTTCTTGCGTGGTGTCGGGCAGACCATTTTGATACCAGGGTTTGACTATGACTCAGACTATTTGTAGTTGGTGGTTTGGAGTGGTGGTTTGGGGATTTGAAGCTGTGGTTCTTGCAGATATCTGGGAAACCACCTCCAAATCACCAATCGAACCCCGCCCCTTTTTTGAGGGAAGCTGCCCCAAGAAAACTTCAAGAGCCAGAAGACCAGGGAAACCGATGTAAGTTCCCAGACAGGCGGCTCTGATTCTTTGAGGAACCCAGTTAGCCCAAAAAGGACACCCCTAGGGAAATCAGGGTGTATATGCTTGAAACAGTGGTTATGCAGAGGTTGTTTTCCTCATGTTTCACTTGCTAGGGGTTTGGGGTGTGGTTTCCTTCACTCTTGGCCCTTGGCATGTTTTTAGGCTTTTAGGTTTTTTTTGGTTCTGTTGCATTTTTTGGTGGGGGGGCGGGGTCTTTGCCTTTCTTTGCTTTTTTTTTGTTGGCTTTTTGGGTTTTCTTACATTTTTTGCCGTGGGGCCGCAAACAGACACAACAAACATGTTTCTTTTTGCCAGGCCACATCGTTTGGATTTTTAGCCGGGACCTGCAAAAAGCTTTGCCAAAGCCTTGTTGGTTTTTGCCCGCCCACACCGCTTGGGGTGGTACAAATAGCTTCCTCCGACCTCAGCAACTTGGACCTTTCGGAGGAGGAGCCGAAGTGCTGGAAGTGCAACTTGGCCCTGGCGGCCTCCGCGAAGTTCTGCCAGGAGTGCGGCGCGCCCCGCGAGGCGGGGTGGGGATGGGGTTGGCGGAGCGGGGGGGGGGTGGGCGGAGAGGGGGGGGGGGGGTTGGGTAGTGATGTGGTTGGGGTGGGTTCGGGGCGGAGGGGAAGGGAATTAGACCAGTGAAGCCCCTGCTTGTTTGTTGTTTGTTTGTTTGTTTGTTTGCTTGCTTGCTTGCTTGTGCTTGCGGGGGGTGGTTTGGGCGGGGAGGAGGGTTGGGGCTTTGAAAAAGCAGCAGGGCTCTTGCCCCGTTTTCGGTAAGGTTACTGAACATCATTTTTTAGGAAGGCCAATTTGAACGTGTTTTCATTTTCGGTGGGGCACCGTTTGGCGGGCAACAACAAGGGAACCCTGCAGCCGCGCATGTTTCTGCGGCTCGCCTGAGGCGCCCGCGCCGAAGCCGAAGGAGGTTCCTGCCGGGAAGAACGTCAAGGCACTCTCCAAGTTTGGTTTGGTGAAAATTGGAGGCCCATCATGGTCATGTTGACCCCACAATCTCAGCTTATTCAAAGGGAACACACCCCTCCAAGAGTGCTGATTCCCCACTATACACAGGGACACCCTTTTAATAAACAGGGGTTCATCAATCCGGGGTCGACAATAACCGGGTCTGAAGGGGGTCCACTTTCTGTGATCCCCAAAGTGACCAAGGTCATAGGGGATGGAAATCCCGCTTTGGTATCACATGGTTTCTCTCGCTCGAGAAGCAAATGGCTGTGGATTTTAAATAGGGAGCCCACTTTGGGTGGAAAAGAACCCCGCCCAAATGACGCCTGCCAAACGAACGCCCTCACTAAAATTCACACCCAGTTGATCATGTAGCAGCACGCCCCTGTTCTCGGGTTGAACAGGAGAGCCAAAGAAGTGACGCTATGCGAATCCCCTAAGCGATCAAGGAAGTCATGGGGATGGGAATCCCACTTGGTCGCCATGGCAAGTCTTGCCCCAGGTTCGAGCGGCAAATTAATCGGGAGACCTCTTTGGGACATAAATCCCCACCCCCAAAAAAATTGTCCGGCAAACGCACGCCCCGAAACATTTTTTGTTTTTAAACAACAACAACAACAAAACGGAAAAAAAAAGAACACCCACGTCCCCCAGATGCCATGATTGGGCTTCGGGCTTCGGGCTTTCAGGTACAGCTTCCACCAGCGCTGCAGGCGCTCGTGGAGGGCAGGACCTTGGAGTCCGTGCGGCTCGATCCGCACAAATCGCTGTGGGGGCTTGCTGGCTCGCGCTCGCGCTCGAAACGAAACCGGCGAATGAGGGACTGAGCCTTATGGTAACCATTTTCTTGTGGGTTCCTTGAAGGGGACCCTCATTCCCACATTTGCTGCTGGGCACCAACAAGTTGGTCTTTTTAGACGGTATGTGCAATGTTCCAAGCTTTTGCCGGAGAAGGGACCCATGGTCATGAAGTCCTGAACTTATCTGAAATCAAACGCGCCATGACTCTCGCTATCGCCAAGAAATGGGAGTTTTGCCCCTAGCACACATGGGACAATCAAGAGCTGGGTGCTCAAATAGTTTGGTAGTTAAGTGGCTAGTGCCTTTGAAGCTAAGGTGACCATTTACCGGGCGAGAGTTCAGTGCATTTTTCCTCGCGGAAACCTTTGACATGAGCAGGGCCCGCACGTGGAACGAAGGCCAGTGCCGGATGAGTACGAGCACGAAGTGGCCCACATCACGGTCACAGAGAAGGAGCCTGGCGAGGGGCTCCATTCGCACAATTTGTTGGCCATCTCATGTCAACTGTGTTCAATCGAAGCATCGTGTCCTTTTTTTTTTTTTGAGTTGGTCCCCCCTTTGTTTGGTGGTTTTGAAGGGAAACCAACAGGAAGACCGACACCTCCTAAAAGGCTTCCCTTTTAAAACCAAAAGGAGAGATCCTTGAGATATTTGTCGCAGCAGTTTCTCCACCATAGCTTTCTAAGAATACGACTTTACAAGCAAATGTGATTATCGGCAAAACTTACGGCCATGCGTGACTACCACGGATAGACAACTCTCGCACCAGTTGGGATGGATGGAACCCTATGAACACTGGTTGATGAACCACCTACCAACTGCAGCAATTTGTTCATCCACAAGGGCTTGCGGGTGCTCAGAAAAGGAGGGAATGAACCATTTTGATTTTGGGAATCCCTCAGGAAATTAAATTGGATGGACGGTTTACATCGGGGAGTCGTTCCATTTCTCACATTCCCTGCATTGATTTCGCGCCCCGCTCTGCAGGATGGAAAGCGCACCTTGCGCCTGGTGGACACATACCCCATGATCGAAAACTCCAGATTGATCGAAGGGCAAGTGCTGGTGCAGATGCGGGCGGTGCCTCTCACGAGCCTCAGCGGAAGGAATGATTGAATGAATGCAGGTGTTCGTTGTCGCTACCGGGACCAGCGGAAGGAATGAAGGCAGGTGTTCGTTTTCGGGACCCAACATGGCTCAACGCCCATCAACACGCCGTTTTTTTTTCAAGGTGTTGGACCCCCAAACTGGCCCCGGTTCTCCATTTGGTGTTGAAGACTAGGCTGGCTGAGCGTGGAGAGGGACCCCGTCCAAGCAAGTTGCTTTCGTTCTGGCTTCGTTCCTTGCGGCGCGTCGCATCCAAGGATGTCAGACCTCAATGCGGAGAACAGGCGCGCTGATTTGGTGAAAAATGAGAACCCAAGTTACTCCGGCGGGATGCAACCTGTTGTGATTGCAATCACGACCTACGTTGTGGTGGTAAATGGGCGTGTTCTATTTATTTCGAGGGTACTCGTTTTGGTTGGTTTTAAAGGGAAGAAGAAAAGCCACCGTTTTGGGGGTCGCCTAAAACAAAGACACACCCAACTGGGCGTGTCTCGACATGCCTGTCAAAATGGGGTGGTCTTTCCAAGCTCACGAAACATAAATACCCCAACACAGGCGCTCAGGGTTAAGACAGACCCAAATCTCGCTGTGGCTTTTTGTTGGCCACCTACCCCGCCTTTCGTGTCCCCCAATTTTCACCCCGAGGTTTTTCGGGGGCCGCCGGCAGCCCGGGCGTTCGGTTGAGGTACAGCTGCGGGGACGTCTACGGCTGCCAAGGGATCGGCCAAGTGCGGATGGTTGGCCCGCGGGTGAGCCTGAAGCCAGGCGCGTGGATGTCGGGGTCACCCGCTTAGCCCTTGGTTCATACCGGTGTTCATACCCCTCTCAACAAAAGGGGTACCTACCCCGAAGAAAAGCAAGTGGGTTGGAAACGAGTCGGGGTAGGTACCCCTTTTTGGGGAGAGGAGCATGAACATTACCAGGCCTTTTTGGGTACATCTGTCCAAGGGGTATGTAAAAGCCAACTCCAGAACCTTAGGCCGTTTCCCAATAGCAAGGGGGAAGGCGCGAAAGTATCTCACAAGCAAACACCCCCCCCACCAGCCTTTTGGTTGGCGTGCTGGGATCGTTTTAGTTGGTAAGCCCAACTTTTCAGTTTGCCCAACGAGTTTACTTGGTTTACCAGTTGGGTAAGGCTCAAAAATAATAGAGCTGGGGCAAACCGCGGGTTTTAGTCTTTGGTTCCATTTGCCAAGGTGCCATTTTGGTACCGGTTTTTTGAGCCACAGCCAGTTTGCCCCAGTTTACCTCCGTTTGGTACCAGCAGAACCCTTTTGGATGCGGAGATACCTGGCCATTACAACCGGAAGTTTTGTGAACCAACCAACCCAATCAACCAAACGAGGGCAGAAGGGAAGAAAAATCAACCGATTACCCAACCTTTTGATTGGCAGAAGGGAAGAATGCCACCCTGTTTACCCTACCTTTTCATTGGCAGACGGGAAGAGCACCAACCTGGTTACCCAACCTTTTGATTGGCAGACGGGAAGCATGCCACCCTGTTTACCCTACCTTTTCATTGGCAGACGGGAAGAGCACCAACTTGGTTACTCAACCTTTTGATTGGCAGACAGGAAGAATACCAACCAGTTTACCCAACCTTGTGATTGGCTCTCCGGATCCAGAGAACACGATTCAGTTCACCGATTCCTTTGTGAACACCCTGACAAGTGGCCAACCCAATCGCCAGCGCGCATCCTCAAAGGCTGAAGCACGACGAGCGCCTTTCTTTTTTCTCACAGAAGTACTTGTTTGGTTTGAACTCACTTGAGTGGGTTGGCAGGCTCGGGTGATTTGGTGGCTTGGATTGGTGGTTTGCTATTCTGGGTTTCCTAGGTTTCAACAAGTAGTTTTTGATTGGTTGATAGACTCACTTCCTGAGCGGTGTGGACCCCTCCAAATTGCGTGGTTTTCGTTTTGGTTTCCCTTTGAAACCCTCAGATAAAGGGTACCACCTCCAAAAAAAAGAGATCTGCCTTCTGAATGGGTTGGCAACAAGTAGTTTGGCTTCGGCATGAAGTTTGAGACAAGTTTGGCACAGGTGACTGGGTGCTTCCGCTGCATGATGTGGACGCAGATGGCGAGATAGACTTGGACCGGTGCTGGCATCGCCATGTTGGTGTGTGTGTGTGTGTGTGTTTTCTTTTTTGAGGGAACCCAGTTCGGGGAGGACTTACCATTTTGTCTTTTTTTGGTTGTGTTTGTCTTTGAGAACATCCGGGGGTAGTTTGAGTGATACACCCATGAGCCACACTCAAAACCTGGGGTGGCTGTGTATCCCCAACCGCCCGATCGGGTTGATGTCCATGTTTTTCTGATGTCCACCAAAAGGGTTCTTGCGTTTCATTCAAAATAACCCTGAGGTTCCCCACTGCTCCGCGAACTCTACCTCCAAACCAATACTAGCAAAGTGAAAGACGCTTTACAACCGTTATAGGGTGGCCAGATAGAGGGAAAGTACCCCTGTTTCTATAAAAGGTGGATCCCCTTTTGATTGGTACTTAAAAAAAGACCAAACGGACACAGGCCATTTGGGTGCCCGAAATATTGACACGTACCCATACGAGTGACCGTGGTCAAGCGGTGGGAGCCTCCCAACCTACGCAGGAAATGGGTATGTGTTAAATGAGGGCAACCTTTGGTTTGCCTTTAACCCAAGGTGAAATGGGCACCCTCGAAGCGCGTTTGAGACCTGTTTCGGGCTTGCTGTGTGATTGCACCAACAAGCAAATAGGTGTCTTTTGTATGGGAGCCGTTTTCCTTTTTGGTTTCTGCCACAAAAGGCAGCCCTCGCAAAAGCCCGCAAGTCCGCACAAAAACGACAGCTCCGCAACAGTTGAGACCTGTTTCGGTGTGATTTCGTCCCCAAATGTGTGGGAGTTGATCAAAAGGTCCTGTACACGGGTAGCAGTAGTGGTGGTGGTAGAAGTAGCAGTAGCAGTAGCAGTAGCAGTAGCAGTAGCAGTGGCAGTGGCAGTAGCAGTAGCAGTAGCAGTAGCAGTGCAGTAGCAGTAGCAGTAGCAGTAGCAGTAGCAGTAGCAGTAGCAGTAGCAGTAGCAGTAGCAGTAGCAGTAGCAGTAGCAGTAGCAGTAGCAGTAGCGCAGTAGCAGTCGCAGTAGCAGTAGCAGTAGCAGTAGCAGTAGCAGTAGTAGTAGTAGTAGTAGTAGTAGTAGTAGTAGTAGTAGTAGTAGTAGTAGTAGTAGTAGTAGTAGTAGTAGTAGTAGTAGTAGTAGTAGTAGTAGTAGTAGTAGTAGTAGTAGTAGTAGTAGTAGTAGTAGTAGTAGTAGTAGTAGTAGTAGTAGTAGTTAGTAGTAGTAGTAGTAGTAGTAGTAGTAGTAGTAGTAGTAGTAGTAGTAGTAGTAGTAGTAGTAGTAGTAGTAGTAGTAGTACTGGTAGTAGTAGTAGTCGTAGTAGTAGTAGTAGCAGCAGTAGCAGTAGCAGTAGCAGTAGCAGTAGCCGTAGCAGTAGCAGTAGCAGTAGCAGTAGCAGTAGCAGTAGCAGTAGCAGAAGCAGTAGCAGAAGCAGTAGCAGTAACAGTAGCAGTAGCAGTAGCAGTAGCAGTAGCAGTAGCAGTAGTAGCAGTAGGAGTAGTAGTAGTAGTAGTAGTAGTAGCAGAAGCAGTAGCAGTAGTAGTAGTAGCAGTAGTAGTAGCAGTAGCAGTAGCAGGAGCAGTAGCAGTAGCAGTAGCAGTAGTAGTAGTGGTGGCAGTAGTAGTAGTAGTAGTAGTAGCAGTAGCAGTAGCAGAAGCAGTAGCAGAAGCAGTAGCAGTAGCAGTAGCAGTAGCAGAAGCAGAGCAGAAGCAGTAGCAGAAGCAGTAGCAGTAACAGTAGCAGTAGCAGTAGCAGTAGCAGTAGCAGTAGCAGTAGTAGTAGCAGTAGGAGTAGTAGTAGTAGTAGTAGCAGAAGCAGTAGCAGTAGTAGTAGCAGTAGTAGCAGTAGCAGTAGTAGTAGTGGTGGTAGTAGTAGTAGCAGTAGCAGTAGAAGAAGCAGTAGCAGTAGTAGTAGTAGTAGTAGTAGTAGTAGCAGTAGCAGTAGCAGTAGCAGTAGCAGTAGCAGTGGCAGTAGCAGTAGCAGTAGCAGAAGCAGAAGCAGTAGCAGAAGCAGTAGCAGTAGCAGTAGCAGTAGCAGTAGCAGTAGCAGTAGCAGTAGCAGTAGTAGTAGTAGCAGCAGTAGCAGTAGCAGAAGCAGTAGCAGAAGCAGTAGCAGTAGCAGTAGCAGTAGCAGTAGCAGAAGCAGTAGCAGTAGCAGTAGCAGTAGCAGTAGCAGTAGCAGTAGCAGTAGCAGTAGCAGTAGTAGTAGCAGTAGTAGTAGTAGTAGTAGCAGTAGCAGTAGCAGTAGCAGTAGCAGTAGTAGCAGTAGTAGTAGTAGTAGTAGTAGTAGTAGTAGTAGTAGTAGTAGTAGTAGTAGTAGTAGTAGTAGTAGTAGTAGTATTAACCAGGCTCCCGCCTGCTGCCGCCGACCCTCGGCGCATTAAGGGAAAAGTCACAAGGGCCGGTCCTGAAACACGTCCGCAAACCCAGGGACCACTTATAAGATCCTCTACGACCACAAACAAGGATTAACGGAAAAGTCAGAAATAGGGCAGCTAGTCCGTTAATTACCGCTTGGGCCGGCTTGCGCCCAAGTCACTTCGAGTTGGCCCGGGAGCAGTCGCCTCTCCCGGGGTCGCCCTGAAACTGGCCCTCCCGAAGTTGACCAGAAACAAGGATTAACGGAAAAGTCAGAAATAGGGCAGCTAGTCCGTTAATTACCGCTTGGGCCGGCTTGCGCCCAAGTCACTTCGAGTTGGCCGGGAGCAGTCGCCTCTCCCGGGGTCGCCCTGAAACTGGCCCTCCCGAAGTTGCCCTGGACCGGTCGCCGGCAGGGACCGGGACTTGGGACCCTGTCCAGGCTGGTCCCAGTCTGGCGCGGTTTGACTTGACGTATTGGACTCTCTTGCAGAATAGATGGGATCCTCTACTACCACAAGGACGTCAACAACCGCACGGGCCGGTTTGGTCGCAGGGTCATGGGTGCCAGTCCGGAAAGGTGTCTGGAGCGGTTTGAGGCAGCACAGCAGATGAATTGGGACCCAACAAGACCAGCGATCACACCAGGACTCGATCCCGGGCCGGCTTCCCAGCAGGACTGGTCCTGGGACCGGTCCCAGGACCAGTCCCAGGTCCTGGGACCAGTCCCAGGACGGACCAGTCCCAGGACTGGCCAGTCCCAGGACCAAACCCCGGTCCTGGGACTGACCAGTCTCAGGACCAGTCCCAGGACTGGTCCCAGGACCGGTCCTGGGACTGGTCCCGGGACCGGTCCTGGGACCGGTCCCTCCCAGGACCGGTTTTGGCTGACTACAAGTAATCCAAAAAACAGCAGAACCAGGGTCCCAGGACCAGTCCCAGGACTGGTCCCAGGACTGGTCCCAGGACTGGTCCCAGGACCGGTCCCGGGACCGGTCCCGGGACCGGTCCTGGGAATCCACTTTTTGTGGGTTCGGGCGTGTTCCCCAGGGACTATCATTGATTCCAATCACTTCCAGTTGCATCCCACGCCGGTCCCCTCTGCATGCAGGAGGCTGGGACGGGAGGCAGAGGGTCGGCGGATTAGCAGTCATACCGAGAGTAGTAGTACTAGAAGTAGATGGACGACCATTGGGGAAAGCCAATAAACAAGTTGATCTTTGCGAAAAGTTACCCATCACTTGGGGCATGGATCAAGCAAAGCCAGGACGCGCTGCCTCCCGGCACCGGCCGTGTGCTGGGCGTTTGGAAAGCCGAGAGGCCGAAGCCTACTTCGGGCTCGGGAAGGGCTGACCAAAGGCCCAAGAAAAGACATGGGGGTTGCATTGCATGAAAAATCGACATTGGGTTTGGGTGTTGACGGTTTCGATATACGACAAAACACAAAGCAGTTTGAGGGCCCACAAGCAGAACAGGAGCTTTAGGGTGGATGTTGATCGTGGCCATCCTTGTCATTGCTATCGATTTCGCCGTGGCCGTTGTGGATGTCGTGGTCGTCGTGTTTGTCCCGATCGTGTTTGTAGACGTAGTCGTCATCGTTCTGGTTTGGTCAAGGGCGTTGACGTAGTTGTGTTTACCGTCGCCACTGTGACAGTTATATTGGTTTGTGTCTTTTTTGTTGAACGTACCCTTTTGTTAGTGAACCAAAACGAAGACAAAAGGAAAGCCATCCGTTTTGCAGGTCTGATTATATAGCAAGATTCCCCTTATATGGATGCTGGAGCTGCGAACACCACCAGATGTTGTGCACATTGGGCGCTCAGTGAGTTGGTGAACTTCCAATGTCAGCTTGATCAGATTTGGTCGGCAGGTGCGCCAAGCTGGAATTCTCAGCCGACGCTTGGATTTCTTTACTGGTTTACCTTTGGTCTTTGGCGATTTGAGTTGTCGAGCTCTTGACTGCTATCGGGTTGGATCTTTGGACTTTAACTTTTTGGGAAATCAAGGGTTTTCCACTAAACCCACAAAAAGTTAAAAACTATTGCAGAGGGATCAGCAGCAACCAAGAGCTGCGCACCACTTTGCAAAGGACTCGCCTTTGACCATTGCGAACATGGCCGCTGGGCTGCGATTTGACCCTGAGTTGCCCTTGCAGGAATGAGTACACACATGGCCATGAGTACGGGGTTTTGACCCACGGCCACATTGTTGTCTTTTAAGCATGGCTCAAGTTGGTCTTAAAGTCCCCCACAACTCCTACCACCCCATTCAGTCTTTTAGGCCTTTACATCATGCACCTTCTTTCATTGAGTCCCCAAGGCATTGGCGAAGTCCATCGGGGCTGCTTGCTTGCTCGTCAAGGAGACTCATGCTCTTCCCTGCATGAAGCTGCTTTACACGCAAGGGTGGTCAATTTTCTTACAAGGACCATTTACCGAGTTTAGCTCTACCTTTCTGCCCCAAATGGACGCCTGGACCCTTTTTTGTCCAAAGTAACCGGCAGAAAGTTTGCAGGAGCATACCAAGAAGCTCTCTGCTGGTGATGGCATCATCCTGAATTGTGCCAACGGTATCTCGGCAGGCCCAAGCACACGTTCAACTTTTGTAGGGTTAGGGTGGAATTGGGGACTCTCTGGGAGGGGTACCCGGGTTCAGCCTCTCATGAGGGTCTTTCCAGATTGCAAAAGTCTGGAGAGAACCTACGAGGGTCATTCTTGCACCTTGGGGTAGGCTCGGGTGAAACTCCAAAAGACATTGCCTCCACTGCATGCCTGAGTCGACGCCTCAAGCATCACTTTTGGATTGTCTCACCAAGTCTATTTCTTCCCTTGCAGCAGGGAATGAGGGAATGACCCCCATACTCCCTTGTGGACCCCTGGTTTCATTCCCAAAACTGTAGGTCCGCGGAATCTTGCGCAGCTTGATGCGGCATCAGGAGCTGTTGCTCAAAACGGACTTTCCAGAGCCCAACTAGATGGCTCTGAAATGTGGTCTTCCTGATGATGCTGGCGATGCTGATGATGTTGGGATGCCAATGATGCTAGCAATGCTGATTATGCTGGTAATGCTGATGATGCTGGCGATGCTGGCGATGCTGGGTATGATGGGTATGCTGGGTATGCTGGGTATGATGGGTATAGTGGGTATGCTGGGTATGATGGGTATGCTGGGTATGCTGGGTATGCTGGGTATGCTGGGTATGCTGGGATGATGATGAAGCTGACATGGCGGATTGCTGGGCGTGGTTTGAGGATCTGACATGGGGTGATGTTGGGGATGCAGCTGATGCCAACCGCTGCTTGAAGATGGCACTGGCGTCGTCTTTCTGTAGCTTCCAGCCTGGGCAGGTTGGGCCAAATCGAATTTTCGTGTTTTGCCCGAACGGCCGCAAAGTTCCGAAACTCAGCAAGTTTCCAATAGACTTGGACGTTGTTTTTCGAACGAAAGAACTGTTTAGACCATTTTAGTGGTAGTGCTACATATACTTAAGCCAGTCTAACCACCGGGACTAGTTTTGGCTGAGTTTCCGGGTTTGTTCTTTCAGGAAGCCGCTGAAAAACGGGCAACAAAAACAACAACCACCCCAAAACCAAAACTGGGTATCCAAGTTTCCAGCAACGAAACTTATCCAAACTTCCAGCCAGGTCGTTGCTGCTGCTGCTGCTGCTGCTGCTGCTGCTGCTTCGCCTCTGAGGTCTGGTGGGCCAAGTTCTGATCCAACTCCTGGCGGCCAAAGGCTTCAAGGTCTACGCCGTGGTGCGGAAGCACTCGGGGGAGCAGTGGATCAGGCGGCTTATTCTTGGATCAGTTTTGGGGTGGGTTTGTTTCGGTTCTTGGGGTGGTGTTGTTTTGGTTTTTGGGGTGTTTTTTCCCCTTTTTCGGGGCACGGAGAGCTTGCGGGTGGCCTCCGAAAGGAGTAAAACACATAACAAAAGATGGCCAAGTCATGCCCTGCCCAGCCAAGGATGCGCTTTGGGTGTCTCCAAAAAAATTAGAGCCCCCCTCCAGGTTGGCATTCTTGTCGTTTCCTTCCAACATATACCAAAAAAGAACCCCTACTTGGGTGTGTCTTTTTGAGGCTGGGTACCAAGGTGAAACGAAAGCATACTTTGGACCTTCTCTCCAAATCCTCCACAAGCTTAGAACCAAACTCTGCAATGACATCTATTTAGGGGATCCCGAAACGGTTCATTCCGGGAACGCTGTGGGTGCCAGGAAAACCCAGTGGCGAAGTGGTGCCCAGAGAGCACCGGACACGAGTCCATTTGATTATGAATCCTAATAAGAGAAGCAACATGACTGTGGACTTCCCCGCCCAACATGGCCAACTCAACGGTCTTCCCGTTGATTTCCCTTTAAGCACCGCCAAAATCCACGTACCCAGTCGCCTGAAAAGACCCGCCTCACCCCGAAGCCGTCAGGGAGAAGCTGCAGGGCCTTGGCGCGACGCGGGTCTTTCAGATCCACGAGGACGTGCGGGAGATCCTGGAGGCGCGGGCGAATGGCGCGGGCTGGGCGCGTGGATGGTTGGTGCGTGGGTGTGGCCAGCGTTGGCCGGAACAATGGGATGGGTCTTTGAGGTGCACCCCGGTTTTTGAGGTTGGTTCAAAAGGGAAACCAACAGGAAGCACCTGAGGGTATACCAAATTAGGCTGGGTGTCAAGCATGAAGCAACTAAGGTTGGGCGTGTGGTTCCTGGTCAACACACACACACACATGCAGGGCATGCGTGTGTGCCTTTTTCAGCGTCTTTTCCTTCAAGTGCCTGCATGTGTGCTATGTTGCTAGTTTCCTATTAGCTACTTGGTTGAAAAAGTGGCGACGGAGCCACGTATTGCCAGCTAGTAGCTAGTTTGCTAAGCTTGCTGGTTCAGTCGTCAGCTCAGTTGGCTAGTTATCTAGCTAGCTAGTTCACTGGTTAGGTAGTTAGCTTGTTAATTGGAGAAGGTGCGAGTTGGCGAGTCTGGCCAGTTCGCTGATTCAGAAGTTAGCGGGTTCAAGAGCAAGCTAGTGTGGATGGCTAGTTAGGTGAGCTAGGCAGTTGGTGAGATCGTTAGCTAGCCATTTAGTTTAGTTCGAGAGTTAGCTAGTTAGCATGTCGGCTCGTCAGAAGAGCTAGCTAGTCAGATAGTTAGCTAGCTACTTAGTTAGTCAGCTCGCGAGCTACTTTGCTTGGATAAGTAGCTCAGCTAGACATAGAGACCGCTGGGTAGCTCAGCTGACCAATCGTTGTTAGGTCTGCGAAATTTGCGAGCGAGTTAGATGGTTTGGTCGGTTGCCTAGCAGCTCGCGCACTAATTAGATAGTTAGCGAATGCCGGTTAGATAGTTTGCTACTTGGGTATGGCTCAAAATTAAAGAGCTGGGGCAAACCGCGGGTTTTAGTCTTTGGTTCCACTTACCAGGGTGCCATTTTGGTACCACTTTTTTGAGCCACAGCCACTTCGTAATTAATTTGTTTTTCTTGGCTAGTTAGTGAGTTAGACGAGAACAAACGCAGGAAAGCATGGGATTTTGATGGCTGGCCGCGCGAAACTGCAGAAGCTTCCGATTTGATGGCTTCGCAAGCCAAGCAATGTAGAACAAGAACGGGCTTTCGAAGATTGACCCGCACCAAGGGTTACGCGAGTGAAGTGGACCAAATTAAAACGACAAAGCCGGCTTTATGATCGACAAGACGAATGTGCGGAGGGTATGCACGCAGTAGATGACTCCAAAACAGTGCCAGCCGCTGTGCCATTGAGCCCGCCATCCGCGCAGGGCTTGGCCACCGGAAAAAAAAACAAAAAAAAAACACGAAATGGCCAAAAAGGGGTTGGCGAACCTGAACCCCGCAAATGACGAAATCACCGAAAGGTCACTTGAAGTTGCCCCAATGAGGGTTGGCAACCCAAGGTTGTTTTGAATGGTAGCTGCCTCATGGAGATCCTTTTTGGCGTAGGTTTAGATGTTTAAACGAACCACCAATTCCCTCAGGAGGAGGGTGCGGCTTTGCCGCTGCTGGCGCTGGACGGTGTAGGCGGCCAGGGCACCAATCAGCTGGTGCAGGCCGGTCGTTGCCCCGCAAGCGGCTGCAGAGTGCCTTAGCCCGGCTGTCTTGGAAACCAATGGAACCTCACTTAGCGGCTTTGGTTGTTTTCTGACTTTGGCGAAACGGGGTTACGGTTGGTTGGTGGTTTAGTGCGGGGTTAGGGTGGTTTATGGTTGGTTTATGGCGGGTTTGGGGCCAGTAGTGGCTTTATGGCGGTCGCCGCTTTGGGGCCTTCGTGCAGGTTGCCGTCGGTAGGCCCGTTGGGCAATATTTGCCCAAAGGACCAATCCTTGATCCCCAGGAAGAAAACAACAACAACAAAGCACCCATTTTGTTTGACCAATCTTTGATCCCCAGAATAAAAACACAAAAACAAAAAACGAAACAACAAACACACAAAACAAACAACAACAACAAAAAACAGCAAACAAATCAAATCAAAACAAAAAAACAAAAAACATTTTGTTTTGATTCTTCGATGAATAGGAGGCCTCCATCCTCAGACAGGCGCTGGCCAAGACAGCGGACCTGGTCTGCTTTGGGGTGGCTGGCGGGAACCACCAGGCGGTGACGCTGGCAGGAGCTGGGGCAGCGGAGGAATGTGACACGTCGGTTTGTTTGTCATGTGAAACACAGGGCCCCCCAAAAAATCAACAACAAAACAACAAACAAAACAAACACACACACACACAGAACAAGAGGCAAGATTGGGGAGACCAAGCTTGTGTCTTCCTTGCTCCTCACGCGTTTTGTTCAGGGAAGACTGTATGAAGAGACATTTCGCTTTGTGAACCGCCGAGATCCGCTTTGGGGCGGGGGGGGAATTTTGGACAAGCCCCTCGCACCCGGTTTTCGGGTTTGATGTGGGAGTTGATGGCAGGCGTGAGAGTAAGCCACCCCGCTCTCCCTCCAGCGCGACAGGAAAGAAGTGGAAGGGCAACCTCTTGCAGTTCAGTTTTGACGAGTGGCTCAGCAAGGACCGGGCGCCCAACCGCAAGTTGACGAGTGGCTGCGGCTCAAAACATGGAATTCCCAAAAGTGGCACAATCTAGGTCCCCCAGTAGTGCCCTTTCACCATTTTTTGGGGGAGGGTTCCCCTACTTAAATAGACTACAGAAAAGAGGGTACCCTTATTCTAACCTCTCCACTGGAGGACCTGGCAATGGTATATGGAGACACAGGCGAAAACCTGCGGTTTGCCCCCGGCTGTTCAATTTTGAGCCGCACCCAAGTTGTAGCAGGGGTCTCTTTGTTTTCCCATGTCCAACAACTGCCGATCCGGTCGAATGGAAATGGGAGCAATCAAACGAAGTTAGATTGTTGCCAGGTTGAACAAGTACCTTTACTAGCCGATTGGGAAATTTGGTAATTCCCAGCCATTAGGCTTCTTGGGTTTAGTGGTTGGGTTTCTGGATTTAACCCACAAGTTAGACTTTTAGCAGGGGATCAGAAAACGGGCAGCCCAGGAAAGTAGACGCTTGCGCAGCCATTGAGCTTTGGATGTATTTTTTCGGAAAACCCCTGCAGGATGTCACGGGAAATGCGAAACTTCTGAACGAGATGCTCCTGGATGTGACGCAGATGGTGAAGCAGAACGCAATGAAGCGACTCCGATTCATGCCAGGGCCAAGCATGAGAACTCTCCCCCAAACAGCAGCAGCATCAGCCCTAGCCCAAGACCCTAAATATGAAGGCCTTTCACCCCCAAAGACCCCAAATAAGGTCTTGTGACCCCAGGAAGAGGAATCATTTTGAGAGTTTCACTGCTGGATCACGCTTCAGGGGCTTTTAGCTTTTTTGTTTTGTTCATTTTTGTTGGGCCGTAAACAAACACTTCTTTTTTTTTTTGCTCGCCCGCTGGAAGAGGGGTTCTAACAATCATGGAAGTGGACAGGAGGCCTTTTCAAGAGGCTTCAGCATACAACCTGGCGTGGGAACAAGGGTGCTCCCCGGCAGATGGACGTGGGACCCCCAAAACAATATTTATATAGACACAATCTAATAATGATAATAATGATAATAATAATACACATAATACTAATGATGATGATGTTGATGATGATGCTGATGCTGATGCTGATGCTGACGCTGACGCTGACGCTGACGCTGACGATGATGACGCTGATGATGATGATGATGATGATGATGATGATGATGATGATGATGATGATGATGATGATGATGATGATGATGATGACGCTGATGATGATGATGATGATGATGATGATGATGATGATGATGATGATGAGGATGACGATGACGCTGATGATGATGATGATGATGATGATGATGATGATGATGATGATGATGATGATGATGACGCTGATGATGATGATGATGATGATGATGATGATGATGACGACAACGATGATGATGATGATGATGATGATGATGATGATGATGATGATGATGATGATGATGATGAGGATGAGGATGAGGATAATGATGATGTTGATGCTGACGCTGACGCTGGCGCTGGCGCTGATGCTGACGCTGACGCTGACGCTGACGCTGACGCTCATGATGATGATGATGATGATGATGATGATGATGATGATGATGATGATGATGATGATGATGATGATGATGATGATGATGATAGGTTTGATATTACAAATGAGAACCACAACAAAAACAGTCATAGCAATAATAATGATGGTAGTCATGATAATGATACTAGCGACCAAGTACTAAACATAATGACAGTAGTAGTAATATTAGTAGTAAGAATAACAATAGCAATAGCAAGGACAAACAAATACAATCAATCATAATGCTAATAAAATGATTTCACCATCAAGAATCATAGAGGAATATCCTTTCTGAGGACATTCTTTGTCGGCTTCCATGCTAGTAACTTGTTGGAACAAGGACCGGATTCCTTCCCCGTGCAAGATCCCCCCCTGAAGGTTATGCCAACCACATTTTCGGCAGACTCCTTGGAACCTTTCAGGACTTCTTTAGCCCAGAGCCACGAAGCACAAAGGAAGGGTTTGTGTCTCCCTTGGAGGTCAACTTACCGGTTCCTTCTCAACCCCAAACGGTTTTGACTCCCGCATGTTAACCCTAGAGCGGGGTTTTCTCCTTTTCCCTCAGAAAATTGCGGCTTTTGAAGAGGAACCCCAGTGACCCCTGTAGATTTTCTTGCAGCTTTTGGTTGGTGTTAAAATAAAGAGACAAAAGGAGCACTAAAACCGTCATTTTGGGGGGGTCCGATTCCTGAGAAAGGACGCGCCCAGCACTGTGACTGGCCATCCCACAGCATTTTTTCCCTCTGAGAGTGCCCGTTTTGGGGTTGGTCTAGGGACCCTTTTGGTTGCCTTAGATGGAGTTTGTTTCAAAGGCAATGCGGTTATGAATCTCAAACATGGTTGATGGATGGCCCCCGCTGTTTTGAACTTAGTTTGCATTTCAAGTTTCACTAAATATGGCCCAGACTCAAACATGTGATTTTGGGTTCGGGAGCAAAGCCCACCCCTGGTGCCCATCAGACAGAGGTTGTTCGAACAGCATCGATTTAAAAGGGGGTGGGTCAGTGAAGCAAAGCCTATGTGAGAATGGACGAGTGAATCATGTCCAATATAACACATGACAAACATGTTTAAGACTCAAAAGGCAAAACTCAGTTTCGTAACCTATATGAATCTAAATACTATTAATCACATCTTAAGACACACATCATATATGGGTGTCTTTGTTGAGGGTATCCGGTTCAGATAAAAGGGGAGGCAAAAAGGACGCTTTTCAGAAACACGCCCAGATACAAATTGATCACTTGCCTAGCCCAGTGCCAGTTTTCGCATTCGCAGCCAGGTTTGTCCAGCTATGGGTGTTCAACCAACTTGGCGGCTTACGATCATGCATATAACTGGGGTACCTGGGGTTAGGGTTCCTTACATGGCTGTGGGTCAAAAATAGGGTAACCCCAAAAAGGAACCCTGGTAAATGGCAACATGGACCCATGTTCTGGTGGTTTAACTTTGACTCATACCCACATGCCTACAAAGTGGCTGGAACACCCAAGTAGCCCCCAAGCCCATTTGGCAGTGGCTCAAAAAACTGGAATTCCAAAATGGCTTGCCCTGGTAAGTGGAAACATGGTTGCCTAAACCTGCGGTTTGCCCCAGCTGTTTAATTTTGAGCCACACCCATTTGGACGTCCATGAATTTCGGCCCGGTGGAGGTTCGTCATCAAGGAGTACCCCACGGAGAGGTTCAACATGGCAGTGCTGAACGCCCGCCAGATCGGAAGGACCCACGCGGTGGTGATGCATCTGCCCAAGTTGCCGGAGAACCACCGGAAGTACACCGGGGAGGAGCGTTGCTTTTTTTTCTTCTTCCGGATTTTCGGGAGGTGTTTGGCGGATTTGAACGCGAACTGACCTCTGTGATACCAAGAAACTTCCGTTGCTATATGGATAGTTTTTTAGGACCTTGGCCCTTGTGTAAATGCCCTTCTAAAAGTGTAGACACACACACACACACACACACGCGGAAGTCGTTGACTGGATCAATATTTTGGGCAAGCTTCCAATCCATAAGAACCCCCAACCTCCAAGCCATCCTAAAACCACCAAGTGGGAGTTTCCCGTCCTTGCTCAAAAAGAAAGCCAAAAGGAAACTCTTGCCATTCTTGCTGGTTCTGAGTAGGGAATCGTTCCTGCGGGTGGACTGATTCCCTTAACCAGGGATTGTGTTTCAGGTATATGGCGTACAGGTTTTGTGCCCTCAGGTCACGTCAGACTTGGGCATGCTGTTGTTTTAGGGAAGTTCCCCAACGCTCTAAGGAAATGTACGGAACCCTAAGGAACCCGAAACAGCCTGGGCTCTCAACTACCCACCCTACCTACCTTCCAAGGGGTGATTCCATAATGATTGGGGTCTTTCAAGTTCTCATTCCCTGCCTAGCGAACCAGCAAGTTTTAGGGTTCTTTTTGACCTGCGTGGCACAATCGGCGTTGAACCTGGATGGGCGGCTTCCCATTTGACTTCTGTTGAAAAAAGCCGCTTTTCGCGCGCTTCCCAGGGAAATAGCAAAAACACCAACCCCAAGCAAATCCTCCTATTCCTCCCGTTCTAGTCTCAGCTTGCCTCTGATTTTGTTGGAACGAGGTGTTTCTCATTTACCCTCTACAAGAAGGAAGTTCAACCCCCCAAACCACTCCAAACCAACCTGCCGACTTTCCTGAAAGGAGATTGCAGTTGTTTCTTCCCCCAAAAACGAATCAACAACTACGGAGAAAAACCGCCGCCGGCGGTGGGCTGGTCTGATCAGGACAGCGTGGCGGTCCCCGACTCCCTGGACCCGGACGCCCAGCGAAAGTTGGGCCGCCGGAGTTGGGACCTCGACTTCCTGGACTGGGAGGCAGCCAATGGCGACGAGGAGCACCAGTGGCGGGTGGACAAGGCGCGAGAGACCGAGACCCGAGACCGCGCGAGACCGCGCAGTTTTTTTTTTCTCCCCGAGCCGGTGAGCGGGAGCTTTTGCGGAGATCGAGATTTGTGTTTGTCTCCGTGCGCTCTCTTTTTTGGTTTGGGGATCTTTTTTTCTGGGGGGGGGAGGGGGACGGTTTTCCTTTAAGCCACCATTCAGAGAGTGTGGATGTCACTGGCGGAAAAAAATGACAAGCTCCGCCGTCAGGCAGTCACGTAGTATATGCCCTGTGCGGGTTGTCCATGAGAATGTGATGGGATTTTCCTTCCAAAGAACGGTGGGTCCAGGTAAGCAGACCCTCTTGCCATTTTCGGGGAACCAATCCTTTGGAGCAACGCCACGGGAATTTGGGCCCATGGTCCGAGAACAGTCCGTATACTTCACTTCGTGGTGTTGAGGGCCCGCTTTTTTCTGAGAAGAGCGCGTTTGTCCGGTTTTGGGCAAGGTAACCTCCGGTTGGAAATGAAAACCGAAAGGAAGGCCAAAGGGGACCGTGGGGCCTGGGGAGGGAGGGGAGGGAGGGGAAGGAGCCCAAATTCGCTCTTGAGGCCCTTACTCAGCTGTTTCAGGTTCCTGGGGCTGGGCTCTCTCCCACTCCAGGCCCCATCAGTAGTTTTCATCGGCCGAGCGAGGAGAGGAGGCTCTTTAGATCAACGGTTTCACCGGAGGAGGGAGCCATTCAGAAATATCAGGACAGGGTTGGGCACGACGGGAGGCTGATCCCGTTGGAAGGAAAAGCCACAAGGAGTTTTCCAACCATCGTGGTTTGAACATGTTTGTGTCTTTCTTTTTCCGGAGGGTCCCCTGCGTCGCTTTGGAGAGGGCTACTAGTCCCGGAGGGTTCCTTGGTTTTGGTCGTCTTTCAGGGCAAACCGAATGAGCACCGCCCCATGTTTGGGGGCTTTCCATTTGGGCGTTTCACGGAAATGGAAACTCAAGTCTGACGAGTCAAGATCTCAGCGTGCCCTTTCTTAAACAAGTCTGTCAATATCCAAGTATATGGTGGAATGTCCAGTAAAGAAGGGTTTTTCAGCATGGATGGACAGCAAAAGGTGGATCTATGGACTGTTGATGACGAACCAGCTGTTGTATGTTGGACTGTTTTGCTGATGTTATCTGTCAATTCCAAAGACGAGAAGAAGGACTTCTGACAAAGCGCTTCATCAATTTGCACAGACTCTTGATTGGCAGCAGACATACCATTGCTTGGTTATGTTATCATATTCTATCAAACATTGAATTCGATTCCCCTCCAAGACTGAAACATTTTATTTCGGGACACTCCCTAATCAACCCCTATGGATGGTCCGGTTGGTTATTGTTGTTCCCCAGTGTTCACACTGTGGATGACGAAATCAGTTCGCACCACTTTGAAACGATGGTTGAAACCTTTGTTTGTTGGCATTTGCAAGGGAATGGTGGAGCGAAATAGATTTCGCAACCATCCACAATAGGGTTTCCATCTGGCAGGCGAATCACCCTATGAATGGATGGTCCAGTTGGTTTTTATGGATTTTGCCAGCATTCCTAGGGTCTGTTGTTTTTGTCCGAAAACCAGCTGGGGTTGAAAGCTAGGACACCTCCCTGCCGGTTTTTTGCTCCGAACAGTCAGCTGGGGGTGGACAGGTGGACAGCCCGGCAGGACACCTCCCCCACGCCCATCGCCCAAGAGCTGGGCTGCCATGCCGACAAGGCCCGGCAGGTCCTCTTCTGGCTGCCTGGAAGGGGGGAGATTCCCCAGGAGCAACTCGACGCTCGTTTAGCGCTTTGGCGCGCTCGAGCAGCGAAAAAAGGAGCGCAAAGAGGAAGGGGAGGAGCACCGCTTTTTCTTCTTCTTCTTCTTTTTGTTTTGGGGTGGAGGGGAAGGTATGTTCTTAAAACTGAGGGATTCCCCTCCAAACAAGGGGAAAAACAAACGGAGGTTTTCCTTTTGGCTTCCCTTTGAAAGCACCCCAAAACGTGACACCGGAAAGGGCAAACCTATACGGAGCTTCGGACTCTACTTGAACGGGCCGGTTGCTTAGCAAGTGGATAGCAACCACGGTACTCACTTGGACTTGCACCGAGGTAAGTGGGCTACCTCGTTTTTTGGCTAACTGTTGTGGGTGATCCCCCCCCCAAAAAGAAAAGAGACCCACTTTTTGCCGCTCGTTTTTGGCGGTCGGAAGAAAATCGCTCAAGGCACGCCGCTCGTTTTCGTGTTGGCCTGAGGCACGCGCACTGGCTGGAGTCGCTGTGCGAGACCCACCGGGAGCTGCGGGTCCTGATTCTGGAGCCGCACCAGTTGGAGCAGGACCTCAAGTGGCCCCTCGGCCGGGGGAAGCGCGGGGCAAATGATTTAACGGGAGCCGTCGAAGCAGGTCGTCAAGGAATCCCCGTTTTGGGCTCAACATGGTTTTATGTATATATATATATATGTGGAGTTGAGCGTCCAGTCAGTTCATTTCAGAGTCTCAAGGCATTTGTCACCCCCAGTCTGGCCAACCACCTCAGTTCTGGCCAAAAACCTCAGTATTTCAAGGGGGGGGGTGGCCGACCATTGTGGTGGAACATCTGCAAGTTGGATCACATTGCCGGAGAAATCATCTGACCGGCTGATTTTGAGGATTCGCGGGTTTTGGATGTATCTTTGAGGACCCCATAAAACGTTTGGTGACATTCTGAGTGGTTTCCCTGAGGGTGACAAGAGGGTGGTGAGGATGTTTGTCTGGGCTCTGGGGGCCAAACGAGCTCCAGGTGCTTCCTTGTTCCACTCCCCAGTAACTGACCCCAGACTACGTAGTCAGGTTGGAAAAATATGAAAAGGTCCTTCCCAAGAAAGTGAAGGATACCCATTTTGCCAACCAGGGGTTGCTTAATCCTACTCAGGCCAACATGGAAGCTATCAGAACCCTGTTCAAAAACTTGGCTCCACTTGTGGCGATGGATATGGGTCTGCTTTTTTGTGAGGGTACTCCTTCTTTGGCGGTTTTAAAGGGGGTCCTCTCAGAAAAAGACACACCCATATCATGTCCACCACACCGGCGTTAGTTCCCAACGGTTAGCGCCTCTTGAGGTACGACATGACGCTTTGCTGCACCTAGCACCTGCGGTTCCTCCGAGTTTCCGCTTCGTCTCTGGCCATTTTGGGGTTCGGGATGGTATCCTCCCCGAGGCGATTCCATGGAAGCTCCCAGAACTCCTGTGGAAGACTTGGTTCCATTTACATCTGGGAGCTTCCATGTTGGTTTGAGGGAGTGTACCACATCTCGACCACACAAAGCCAGACGCTGTGGGAGCGGTTGAAATGGCGCAGGCAGGCGCTCGTTTTTTTTTTTTCTTTTTCTCCCGGGCAGTGCAGCCCAGGACGGACAATGAAGCTGTGTGCACTTGGCTGAAAGAGGGTCTGTGGCGGCTGCTTGTTTTGCCTGGTGCCTGCGCCAAGTTCAGGCCTAGCTTTGCCGAAGCTAACCTTGCGAGCGTTTGGCTTCTTCTTTCTGATGCTCAGTTGGGAATGAGGGAATGTATAACTTGGGGATTCCCTTAAAGGAAACCACAAAGGATGGTTTATACGGATCATTCCGTCATTCCCTGCCTATTGCACCAGCAAGTTGTTCTTGGTCTGCATTTGCTCTTTGGTGCTGCCGCTCTTTTGATTGGCATGAGACCCAGTCTGAGGAAGATACCCCAAACAAATATGAGGGATGCTAAAGAATTGCCGCCCTGCAGCAGAGTTGGGTCGGAGTTGCCCAAAAAGCCTTGTGCCTCCTCCAATTCTAAGATGGTTTCCATCCAGACCGAAGCTATGCCCAGGAGTTTCAGGGGATAAACTGCGATTATATGCCCACTACAGAAGTATACGCTTTTTTTCCCCCGGAACTATCGATTTGGGTAGAATGACATTGGAATTTGGTGAGTGACTCCTGTCTCGCGGCATTTCGGCGAGTGTGCCCCATGTCATGCCCTTTACTACAGATGACCGCAAATCTTGAGCGTCACTCAGTTCTCATAGCTCTTGAAGGAGTGGTGGTTGGTGAGTCAAGTCTGACTTCCATTCACTGCCCTTGTGAGCACATTGAGGGGCTTCTCGGAATCTTTGGATGTGCCGTACGATGCCCCTTGGTCAACTTGCTGTGATGTCTGGTTGCGCCAACCGGATTCCCAGGCGTTTCTCCTAAAATTGCGGGCGTTTCGAGCTTCGTTTCTGCCCAGAAGATCTGGACATGTGGGGGGTAGGTGTCAAAATAGCGAAAAGTTGCCCCCAAATGCAGGGTTTCTCCTTTGGTTTTTTCCCCTGGAAACAAGGGATGCCCTCAAAAAGCCATATATGCGCCCTTTGGTACTTTTTCAGGTTCGCTTGGGTCTGACTGAGGCAGCTGGGCCTCCGTTTCAGCATCGTAGACGATGAGAGGAATCCCGGCGGGGACTTGTCGCGATCCCGTGGGGCCACTTGGCCGCGAGTTAAAAAAACCGGGGATCGTCGAGCCGCGCTCCGCGAAGACAAATCCAATGGGCTCCACAGAGCATGGATCCAATCTGGTAGGGCTCAAGCCCATGGAAAAAAGGTACCCAATGTGCCGTTCGAAAAGTAACCTGACGAGTCAAAAACTTGACATGGCCCTTTGGGTGGGTGTCTAAACTGTTTTTTTAAAGGGAACACCCAAAGGACTCCGTTGACATTCTTAGGAATTGCAACTGAAAGGAGAAGCCCTAAATGAGAAAGCCTCATGTCTCAGCTTCCCTGAGATCGGTGGCTTGAAAAAGCCCTATGACAGAGTTTTCTTCAAGATCTTACTTGCATACTCCAAGTGGGCATACTCCAAATTCCTCTTACAAGGGGTAGGGGTTGACATCCAGGTTTTCAACCAAACACGTATCACCCACAACCATTTGGAAGGCCAATATTTGTTGCTAGCCTTCCAGCCGAAGATTCTTTGGTATGTATTTTTAAGGGACCATATCACTGGACCAAAATACTGTTTTGCGATTTGTTCGGCGATTCCACCTTCCTTAGGGATTCCTGGCGGCTGATTTTGCCAAACGTTGGCGGAGCATCGCACATGGGCAAGTTTTAGCGATCCCTGGCTGAAACGAAAGAGCTGATGAAGGTCCTTTACTGGCAAAACATCTCCAACCAAAAGTTTGTCACCCCCAACCATTTGGAAGCCCAATTTTTGGCTGCTACCGTATTCAAATATTTTTATCCTTTTTTTTCAGAGGACGTATGGAGGGAATATGCGCCGAACTCGTCTTCCAGGTGGCCAGCTTCGAGGTGCCCCTGCTGCCCAGCGAGATCCTGGGCTGATCTGACAAGTCAAAACCGAAGCCGTTTCGGGTAGAAGGTGGGAGAATGTCTTCCATTTGCTTAAGAGGTTTGTTTCTATTTTCCCCTGTTGATGTCCTACTGGAAATCTTTTTTACTGGATAGTGTCTTCCATTTGCTGAAGAGTAAACGGAACGGAACCCCCCTGAATCTCCTTCCATTTGCTGAAAAGTGTGAATAGGTTATCTTCCCCTGTTGATGTTAAAGGGCATCTGTCACTACTGGACATATTGTCTTATGTTTTCCGGCGGACTTAAGCAAATGGATCATGTTGACCCCGCACTAAGAAGCCCATGTCTATTCTGCGGGTGGCTTTCCTGCAAGAGTGGTCTGATTCTTTGGTAAAAAACGGTTCAGGGACAGCCCCAATAGGAATTTGCCAGGTAGAAGGTGGGATCCTCCCAGCCGATGGGCTGCCTTCGGCGCCTCTTGAAGTCTTCTAAAATGGTCCTGGAGCATTTTAATGCCGATCGGTTTTGATTGACTCCTGTGCCCTTTTTAGGTTTTGGCTCGATGTTTGGTCCAAAAAACACGAAAGTTGCAGACAACAACTGCGTGTTGGTTCAGGGATCACTGGATTCCCCCTCCAAAAAATCATCAATTTATGGGCGGTTTCCATGGAAACGATCGCAACAATTGGAGGTCCCCTTTGGGGAAATTGTAAACGCTTCGCGTTGCCCGCCTCGGCCCAGCCTAGTTTGAGGGAAGGGTCAGGAACACCGAAATCCAGTGTTGGGAAGGTCCGAATACCTGAAGCTGGCTCCAGACAAGTCAGACAAGCCGGCCTCGCCTGGTTGGGCTGGGCCACAGGCTAGTCTCAGACACATCAGATAAGCCTGCGCTGGGCCTGAAGCTAGTCTCGGGCAGCTTGGCTGGACCTTGCTTGCGTGGGTTGTTGGTTGAGCTGGGCCTGAAGCTAGTTTACGGCGGGCTGGGCAGCCGCACTGAGGGGGCTGGGCTATGGCTGGGCTGGGCCTGAGGCCAGTTTCAGACACGTCAGACAGGCCTGGCCAGCAGGCGGACTGGGCTGGGCTAGACGCTAGTTGAGCCCAGGCTGGTGAGGCCCAGTCTCGGCGCTAGATAGGCTGAGGCCTGCGAGTCTCAAACAGGGTGGGCTTGGGTGGGGTTGGCTTAGGCGGGTTGCTGGTTGGGCTGGGCCTGAAGCTAGTCTCAGCCACGAGGCTGCGAAGCCATGGGTGGGTTGCTGGCTGCTGGGCAGCCGGACTACGCTGTTGGTTGCGCCTGGAACTTCGGCTGGGCGGGCTGGGCTGAGCTGTGCTTGGGCGGGCTGAGGCTGGGTAGCGAGTTGCTGGCTGGGCTGGGCCTGAGGCCAGTCGCAGACACGTAAGACACGCCAGCAAGCGGGCTGAGGGACTGGGCCTGAGGCTAGTCTCAGGCTGGCATACCTTGAGACCAGTCTCAGACTGCGCCGAAGGGGCAGCCTGGGCTGCAAAGGCCTGTTTCAGACAAGCTTGGGCCTGAGGCTGGGTGGGCTGGCTGACAGGCCTGGCCAGCAGGCGGGTTGCTGGTTGGGCTGGGCCTGAGCCTAGTCTCAGTCAGACAGGGCCACCAAAAAAGCATTTTTTAGTGATTTTCTCGACAAAAATGGACCCATGGAGCTGGACGCCGACGAACCCCGAAAATTTCAAGGCCCGCCGGACAGGATTTTTGGCCAGCCGACATGGGTGGGGGGGGGGAGGGGGTTGGGGGAGGGGAAAACGAAGAGCGCCCTGGGGCCGAGGCGAATTGAGGGACCCCTGTGGTTGGTTTGGCTGATTCTAAAAAGCAGGTCTTTCACCGCGACCTGTTGGGAACAATCGATGCCTGGCGTACCATGAAACCTTCAGGATTTCGCGGTCCACTTTTTCACCACTCAACCTCCAGTTTTGTTTTTTGGTTTTGGGGCTCTTTTGTGTGTGTGTGTGGGGGTTTTTTCCCACCAAAAGACGCAGCCGCAACAGGTGGCCATGAATATTGCGAAGGGGGCAGGTTGGACCCCCCAAACACCGCGCCACGGTTTTGCTCTGCGCCGCCGCTGAAGGATCGACGCCCTGCAGCAGGTGGAGGTGGCTGCGACAGGGCTGAAGCGCCGGGCGCGCCTTGGAGTTCGATTTCAATCGGCTGGGGTTGGGGTTGGCCCGGGGGGGCTCCTTGTTTTTTGGGTTCTATGGGGTAGGGGTACCTGTTTTTGGGGGGTTGGTTGGTTTTTGGTTCTGTAAAATATAGCAACTTTTTTTTTGTGGTTCTATGGCGTAGGGGTACCTGTTTTTGGGGGGTTGGTTGTGTTTTGGTTCTATAAAGTATAACAACCTGTTTTTTTGGTTCTATGGGGTAGGGGCACGTGTTTGGGGGGCTGGTTGTTTTTTGGTTCTATAAAATATAACAACTTGTTTTTTGGTTCTATGGGGTAGGGGTACCAGTTTTTGGGGGGTTGGTTGTTTTTGGTTCTAGAAAATATAACAACTTGTGTTTTTGTGGTTCTATGGGGTAGGGGTACCAGTTTTTTGGGGGTTGGTTGTTTTTTGGTTCTATAAAATATAACAACCTGTTTTTTGTGGTTCTATGGGGTAGAGGGTACCTGTTTGAGGGGTTGGTTTGATGAAGGGGGTTCCATTTGGGTCTGTCATTTGTTGGGGCTTGGTACGCCTTTTTGGTTGGATTCAAAGGGCGGAACCGGTGTTTTTTTTTTACTAGCCCCGGCTCGGGGCTTAACCCCGGCTCGGAGACTGGTTGGTTGGTTTGTTGGTTGGTTGTTAGTTGGTTGGTCAGCTGGGCGGCCGCATCCCCAGCATCCCCAACATTACCGGCTTCTTGTCACAGCTGCGTATTTGGGCATGACTTGATGCTCGGGATAGCCGGCCGCATCGCCAGCATTACTGGCCTCACTCGGACGAGAGCTGCCTATTGGCTTTGGTTTGGTGGCAGTTCAGGGTTGATCGGGGCTGGTTTGGGGTGAGTGTTGGGCTTTCTGAGATATTAATGCGGGCGGGTCTTGGGTTTGTTTGGGGTTCATTTAGCCTCGGCAAAGGGCCGATATGCAGGATGCGGTTGGGAGGGTTTCAGGTTGACTTTGGGTCGGTTTTGGCTTGGTTGGGGCTGATTCGTGCTAGATGTGCGGCTGGTTTAGCCGTGGCTTTCGGGTTGCTTCAGGGATGTGGTTCTGCAAGTTTTGGGCTGGTTTGGGATTGGTTGTGGGGCGTTGCCCCAAACCAATCCCAAACCTAGCCCAAAACTTGCAGAACCACATCCCTGAAGCAACCCGAAAGCCACGGCTAAACCAGCCGCACATCTAGCACGAATCAGCCCCAACCAAGCCAAAACCGACCCAAAGTCAACCTGAAACCCTCCCAACCGCATCCTGCATATCGGCCCTTTGCCGAGGCTAAATGAACCCGAAACAAACCAAGACCCGCCCGCATTAATATCTCAGCAAGCCCAACACTCACCCCAAACCAGCCCCGATCAACCCTGAACTGCCACCAAACCAAAGCCAATAGGCAGCTCTCGTCCGAGTGAGGCCAGTAATGCTGGCGATGCGGCCGGCTATCCCGAGCATCAAGTCATGCCCAAATACGCAGCTGTGACAAGAAGCCGGTAATGCTGGCGATGCGGCCACCAACCCCCAGCTTGTGCCGAGCCGGAGCTAGTAAAAAGCCGGGGCTAGTAAAAAAAAACATCTCAACCTCAAAGGGCAGCCAAGAGGAACATTACAATTTTGGGGAGCGTCGCCTAGACAAAGACACACCTATTTTTGTTGGGTCCCAGTCGGAAAGGGAAGCCGGTTTGTGGCTTCTTCTCGCTCTCTCTCTCTCTCTCTCTCTCTCTCTCTCTCTCTCTCTCTCTCTCTCTCTCTCTCTCTCTCTCTCTCTCTCTCTCTCTCTCTCTCTCTCTCTCTCTCTCTCTCTCTCTCTCTCTCTCTCTCTCTCTCTCTCTCTCTCTCTCTCTCTCTCTCTCTCTCTCTCTCTCTCTCTCTCTCTCTCTCTCTCTCTCTCTCTCTCTCTCTCTCTCTCTCTCTCTGTCCCTCTCTCTCTTTCTTTCTCTTTCTCTGTATCTCTCCGTTTCTTTTCGGGGTCTGGGCTGAAATCAGATGTCTTGTCAGGTTGGGGGTTTGGATTGGTGGGATTTGAACCCCAAGCTGTCTAGACATGGGAAACCATCCGTAACCACCAATGAAGGGCCCACCAATGAAGGGCCAGAAGGAAAGCAAGTAAATAAGTGGCAACTCTCCAAACTCCAGCTTCCCCCACCTAAGGGAAACGTCACAAATGGGTTACCTTCCCCACATTGAAGGGTGAAATGTATACGCCCATATATGAACCGCAGGTATGATGTTTATTGGTCAATTGAGGGCTTAATTGTGGGGAATCAGACCGCAGAGAGTCCCAGATAGGCATGGGTTCATATAGATACATCAATACATCCCAGTTTGGTATGTCCCCCAAGGGGTTTTGGAGCTGGAACCAGCGACATAAAGATCAAACTCCCCATCTTTGGTGCGCTTCCTGCCGACTTTCCTGCAGATCCTGCTTTGCAATCAGGTTGCCCGAAAAACCAAAGGCAGAATGGGTCGCCGTCAAAACACGATGAACATAAAAAAGGGCCTCTCCTGGAGAAATATCAGGAAGCAACAACCTGGTATTTGATGGGGTATGTGGCCTTCATGTTGGTTCTTGCCGGGGAAACTGCTCCACAACTGCTCCGGGCAACATCTCGGCTCAGGCCTGGGACGATAGAGTTTACCCTCTCGTTTCACCTGACCTTGTGACCTTTTGGTGACCTTTTGCTCCGTGGCCTTCGTGCACATTCCCCTTTCACCCAAGCGAGCCGCGAGCCCCGCGACGCGCCTAGGCAACTGGAGGAGCAACGCCTGAAGCTCCGAGCCTTTGGCGCGAGAGCGGGGGTGGCACTTGGGGATAGTCGCTGAGTTTTGAGCGCCGAGTTTTGGTGAGATGTTCAAGTATTGGTTTAGGGGGCTGATTAAATCTAGCAATTACTACAATTTAATCAGGCTCTTTGATGAACCAATTTGTTACGCTATGTTTGGGGGTGTCTTAGGAAAGTTATGACAACACCTAAACCAAGAAGTCCGCCAAATTCACTCGGTGATGTCCTCGTCTTGTCGTTTCAACCTCTTGGTTTCCAGTTGAAGCAAAAACAGACACGCACATAGACAACAGGGGGGGAGTACCAACTCCAAAAAAGCAGACACCCTAAACCAGGCTTCGAAATTGAATTTTGTTTTTGACTCACTGAAAACGGCCCCTTGGCGCCTAGGACCTGTTTGGAAGACATAACAGTGTTTTTTTTTCTGCCAAGGCCGGGTGTTAATCCTGCATGCATGAAGGGACGCGGCTTGTCTCTACAGAAAACTCCCCCCATAGTTGGTTTCCAGGCTGGCTTCCCGCAAAAGCCCCCCCCCCCCCCCCAAATGAAAGGGCTACACACCCACTATCAGGCAACCCCTAGTTGGGGGTTTGGATTGGTGGTTTGAGGATTGGAACCCCTGGCTTTTGCCAGAGGCTTAATGGGAAATCCCTCCTCCACCAAACGACGGCGAGAAAGGGCACTTCGTTTCAGAACGGGCAAAGCTTCTAGGCAATCAACGAGCTCACCGATCGGGGTTAAAGCGAGACCCACAATGCAGGTGCTTTAGTTGGACATTCCTTAGTTCGGGTCTGCGAATGATAGACATTTGCCCGGATGTTCTCATGACTTTGGTGACATTGACTTTGGGCTTTCAGTCAATGAACTTTAGAGCCTCCGGCTCAGTCTGCGGGCATTGCACCCTCCGCTTCCTGTCCCCTGCATGTCCCTTGTATTTCCCTGCACTTCACCGTTTGATTTTGCCTTCACGTCCCCTTATTGTCCGTGCATTTTCCTTGCATTTCCCCTTCACCCCGAATTTCCCTGTCAGTCCCCCTTCAGTGCTCCCCTGCAGTGTTCTTGCATTGACCCTTGATTTCCGATTCATTTCCCTTCATGGCAGCTTCATTTCCCGTTCGTCCAAAAACTACCGTGTTTTTCAGCGTCCAGTGATTGTGAGAAGGACATAGATATATATATATATAGATACATCTATTTTTGTTCACGCTGTATATGGCAAGACGATGCACAATGTCAGAAGCCAAATTGACTTCGAATTAGTTGATATACCTGAACGCTACCAAATATGCGTACATACTCCTAACTTTAAATACAGGCATATATTTAATGCAAATCTTATAGGCGTAGAAAAGTAACAAGTTCTGCGAATTTGAAGACACCTGTTTATGTAGGAATGTGTATCTTTGATTTCTCAAAGCAACATATGTATTGGTTCTATTGTGATGTTTTGAAAAAGACATATCAAGATAATGTAAAGTTGATATAGACAGACAATGAGAGTTTAGTCATTTACACTAAAACCGAAGACATTTAACATAGTTTCAATAACATTTCACAGTTTATGGATTTCAGTGGTTATGATGGAAACTGGGTTGCTTTAAAGATGAAGCAGATGGTAAACACAATAGCTAACTTTATAGCATTGAAACCCAAAGTCATATACACAAAGAAGAAACAGACAAAGAACAGTAACGGTGTTCCAAAACAAAAGGTTAAGAAAGAGCTAGCCTACAACTATTACAATGAGACATTAGAATATAATAACTGTGATACAGTGACATTCAATTCTATAAAAAGTAAAGCACATCAAATATACAACATACATCAAACAAAGCAGTCATTATCAAACTATGACAGCAAAATATATTGGATACACAAAACCTTGATACAGGAACTTAACAAAACTAGCGTGTTTTTTGTTTTTGTTTTTTCCCCTCATTATATACCAAGGTAAGGATCTGTTTTATTGTAGATGGCAATAAAAAGACAAGACTTCTATGACAAGTTATGAATTTGATTTGTTGTTGAATTCTATTGAAGGCGAAGTTTCAGACTTGTCAATAGATACAGGGGAGGAACATCAGAAGGCAAAGAAAGAAAATATAACGATGTCCTGAATAAGACATACAGAGACGAAGGATACTTGAAAGACTTGTCAATGCTCAATTTATATTCCTCTAACTCGTTTCAAATGCTTGCCTTGCTTTTACACTTACCGCATATATTAATAACATTCGTAAAATAGTATCTCATTGTACGAGCCTTACAACAACCATGAGCATCGGTTAAGTTTTTCTCACGCATGCTATTTCTTCCATAGTTTTACAACCGTGCTTTAACACTGTCATTCAATCTCTATTTTACATAGGGGACATTTCTTTAAGTAGGTTTATGGTAAAGTAGCCAGTATCTTCCTAACCAGCTCACTCGGGATCTTGCATAAGTCTTCTTGCTTATGCTTCACGTCGTTGTTGGCCCATTCTTCCCTCTTTTAACTCGGTGCCCGTTGCGCTGTTTCAATATGTTTATTATGATCAACCTTACCACAGTCTGTTTTGCACAACGGTCTAGATTGTCCGTATTCCCCCAACCCGAACACCAAGCACAGGTTGGAGGAGAACAAGGGGAAAGGGCAGGGCAAAGGGAAACCCAAATCGCGTTCAGCGTCGCCATCCAGTGAAGGATCCATCGCTTCAAGTTCGATTCAAGGGTCCATGCACAAAGAGTGAGAGCTGTCCATATAAACATTAGCTTCCCGCACCTGCGAATCCCCACGGCGGCACCTACAAAGACCGAAGCACCCCCGGAAGGGAAGGCTGCGGCCAAAAGTAGCGATGCTGAAGCCGAGACGGCTGGCCATGATGACAATGCGGATGCGATGTGCGAAGCGGTCGAGGTGGTCTGGTCAAACGGAAATGCCCACAAAGACGGTACGGTTCCATTTGATCACCGGGAGATGATCGCATGCCAAAGGCAACGCGCTGCCCTGTTGTCAAAGACGCTGCGGATGGCTTTTACAGACCACGCTTCCTACCCATGGACGACAAGAATACACTTGTACTTCCTTCAATCGAGAAACAAGACAAGGTCTCTTCAGGCATCCCCAGAATCTTTTTACAGGGACAAACGCAGAAGATCCGACAGAGCCCTGCCTTTGCCCCTGTTGTGCGGCTCTATTGGACTAAGGAAGTCACACCCTGCCCTTCTTCTTCGGAGGCTTCGGCCAGGGCGGCGCCTTTGACGAAAAACAAGCGCGGCACCATGCTTTGCACATGGGTCTCAACATACTAGCCGGCTTTGCCAAAAATGTTGGGCGTCCCCAACGAAAACCCACACCCAGCTGGGTTTGTCATCTTGAGGCAATCCCCCGCAAATGGTGGTTTTACCTTTAACCCCCCCCCCCCCTGGCCAAAGGTCAAACAGGGTTCCCTTTGCCTCAACAGACACTCCCACATGGACCCCGGGCTCCTTTTGTATTTTCTTTGCAATGGGGTGTCCCATGGGACGGACCAAAGGACCAAACCCTTTGGGCCCCAAAAGGCCCTGTGCTTCGAGTTTTCGCGGTGTGTTTGGGGGACATTGGACTCATGTGGGGTCCGTATGAGTGTTTTAGTGGGTGCAAAAGAAAAGGGCCTTTGGCGGGTGGGTTGGGATTTCTGCCCGCCGCTTAGGGGGTTCATCGCCATGGAAAAAAGGACCCACTGCATCTCGTGCTTTCCGAACTGAACATCCACTAGCCCAAGGAATTTGGAACGTGACCGGTTTGCCGTGGGTGTGGGGAATGCATCCCATTTTCCCACCCGAACAGTGTTGTGGAGGTGAAATAAGTTTTCGACGCGGGATCTCGGCACCTGCTTTTTTCTCCGAAACGAGATGATACTGTACAACACTCGCCGCATGCTCATTGAAACTTGAAAGCTCTTTGGGGAAGCGACTGCTCTCCACTAAGCAAACAAACATGCAAAACACGATTTGCAAACCCCAAAAACTCTTTCATCAAACAAAGCCTCTCAAGAGACCGGACAAACAGAACGTGGGTTTCGCAGGTTTCGGAAATTCCTTCGACGCGAATCGATTCCCGCGGCATCGAGGTGTGGTGGCGCTCTACGCAGCAATGTGCCTTATGGACCTGGGGTGGGGGTGGGACACGGCCGGCCGCTTGAGCGCCCAAAACCGATTCCCTTCGGCCATTTCAGTGGCTCTGCTGCTGGCACAGGAGTTCCTAGCAGCCGATTCAACAAAAAAAGGGTCTTCTACTACCTGATGTATTTTTGGTTCTAGTGAAAACTATACAAACCTGTACAACCAGCTTGGTAGAACGAAGAGTCAACAGGTGTTGGGCGCTGCTCAATTGGCAAACTTAGTAGGTGGTTCCTTTTCGAGTTTCAGAGTTCCAGAGTTAAGATCCACAGAATTCAGAAATCCAGATGCGAGCTGGACATTGTCGCCCCCTAAATGTGACCCCCTTGGTGGGATTCCTCTTGAGGTTCGGGCACTCCTTGCTCCCGTCTTTTGTTTTGCACAACATGACAGGAGTGCATTGATGTGAACGGAGCGAACACCCAGGGCACACATGAGCGCGGAAGAGGGTTGTTGGAGGAATGTTGTCTTTGGGGACTGGGTCCCTTTCAAATTCCATATTTGTTTTCGGAGGTAACGCAAATATGACAGGCGTCACGCAAAGGCTGGCCGTTTGATCGTAGACATTTCACAGGAGAAGCAAAGATCCTTAAACTTGGGCGAGCGCACCCCAAGATTCCCATGCAAGCAAGCCCCTCGTGATGCAAAGCGTGCGTCACGCTTTGCTGTTTCGAGCCATGTTGGTGAGTGTGCCGCGGGAGTTTAGGCGTAACCCGCCCTTTGTGCCGAAGATGGTTTCCACTAGCCCCCAAAAACCACTACCTTGAGGGGGTTCATGGGAGATAACAGCAGTTATGTAACCCCAGGGTACATGGGGGTTGATCAATACTCCCAGTCCCCAATTGACCATGTCTAACATTTCGCATATGGAACATATCTTCTTTTTTGTTCTCGTGGTTTTCCAACCAATGGTGCCATGATTTCAGGACTTTTTTGATCAACCCCCGCATTCCCCCTACCGTCCGGTGATATGTTTTTGTTTCTCGCTTCGGTTTAGGAGAAGCCCATCGATGCGGTGGCCTTTTGCCACAGCGGCATTCCAGCGGCATCCATGCTCGGCAAGCGCCTGACGCCTCAAGTCAGGACCGGACCAACGCCCTCCCTGCCACGTTGCCATCTTCGGGGGCGCTTTGGGGGGGGGGGTATCCTTGGATAAGCCCAGAATAACCAGGACAAGCCCTTAGTAAAGCCTTATTGGGGGCTTGATACGGGTGGCCCCCCCTCCCCTTACCCCTCCTTGGGGGTCCATGACGCCCACGTTGTATTTGGCACCAAACAGGTCCCTTTGAGCGGAAACTGATCTTCCAGGTACTCTGCAGGTGCCATGCTTATGGGAATCCGGATCACTTCGACAGCCTATGAACCGGAGGGTTTTTTCCCGCTCGTTTTTGGCCTTCTACAGAGCCGTAGAGCACCTTCAAGACGACTGTGCGAAAGCACAGTTCGGAAACTCTATGTAGCGAAAGGCCGGCACTTTCTCGTCAAAGAACAAATGCGACCTCAAATAGAGCATAAGACAATTAAAATAAACATCAATGCAACCTCAAATATTCTTGTAAAGCAAGTAAGAAACCCTCGACGAGACAAGCATCAACTCCAACCTGGGACTTGGTGCGACTGAAAACCCCTCCAAGTCTCGCATCCAGGACGCACACGAGATTGCATGCTGTCTACGACAAGGCCGACCAGGAGGTTCCAGCATCCTTTCCAGAAGCTGGGCAGACCGAATCCGTTTTTCCAATGAGGGTGGAGAAGGGCACTTCAGGCGGATGCTCCCTCAACACCCTCCTGTCCGCTTCCATAATTGTTAAGAGGGGCCTCTCAACCAACAGTGGACCCTGTTGTTTTTAGTCTATCGCCAAAACAGGTTGGAGGTTGGGGTTGAAAAAACAGGGTCCTCCTCAGTTTGGATCAGTGTGCCACCCCCACGGAACCGCGAGGCTACCTTGCCTTGAAATGAAGAGTTTCAGGTAAGTCTTAGTCGGTGGTTGGTTTTGGTTTGGGGATTTGAACTTTTGCTTCTTGTAGCACTCATCCGAACCCCACCAAGCCACCGATTCGGCTCGCTCCAAGCCACCAATTCGACTGAAAGTCTTTGGGTTCACCCTAAACCCTACACCCTAAACCCCATGTTCCGTGGAACCCGAAAGCCCCGACGTTTCCAGGGTATTTATCAAGCCCCAGAAGGCTAATGACTTGAGCTGGTAAACTCGGCCAAGTGCCCAGTCGCCACACGGAATTTTCGTGGAGAAGCTGAGTCTGCCTTGGACATGGGATTTGAACTGCCGGCCAACAGAAAGGTGGCGAGAATCTCCGGGTTTCTACCAACAAATGTGGACCGATTCCTGATCATGTCCTGTTTTTAGTTTTGGCCCGTCCAAAACTTTTGGGGTCGGATTCCCATTTTGAGACACATACGGGTAATGTCCCAGGGAGACGTACCATGAGTGGCTTCCTTTTGGGGGGTTCAGCTCCGATTCGTCGCAAGCACACCAGTTTGGGTGTGTTCAACAGGGAGATTTGAAGGAACCTTGTTGGGAGCTTCTGTTTGTTGAGGCCAACCCAAATGTGGCGCGGTGAAAAAATCCAGCAGTTTATGGTCCATTCGGGTCCATTCGGAGGGAAACAGACATCCCAGCTGGTATCCCAACAGCAACCCCTGCAACCCCAGCCCGGAACCACTGCACTCTGGAGCCTACCTGGCCAAAGAAAGCAACCTTTCAGCTGTTGAGGAAAGACAGCAAAGGTCAGAGCGCTCGCTTGCCCCTGTCCTTGTCCGCAAGCGCCTACTTTGACAAAGGAAAAAATGCCGGACAAAGTGCACGCCAACTGGCACGAGAGTGGATGGACGAACCACTGAATCCCATGGAGCCTCCTTCTCCGGTCACTTTGTTCCGAAAACGGTGATTCGCCTTGAATAATATATGGAATAGCAATCCCTGGCACACCTGACGATCACAGGTGTCTTTTCTGGGTTAGTTTGGCGAAAAACAGGGTTCCACTGGTTTTAGATGGGGGTTCATGCCATCCATTTACTAGGGAATTTGCAACCGTCCACAGTATGATTGGGCCGAAATGACGTTTGCGTTTGTGTAGTAAGGAGACCATTCACCAGATGCTCTCGCTGGCGAGATGCCGCTTGGGCCAGACCTCATGCGACGCAAGTCGGGCCTCTACTTGTCCAAGCCCCAAACAACAAACTTGCGATCGGTGCGATAGGTAGGGGAATGAACCCAGGGATGGTTTGTAGGGGTCATTTTTCATGCCCTACCGAGCAGCAAGAAAAGGTGATGTGGATTGGGAAGAGTTTGAAGCTTTGTGGTTGTATTCAGCTCTTGATACGCGGAATCCGGCCCGAGTTTTCCCGGAGGCTGAATCTGACCCGATTTTTCACCGGGGCCTTCATGGATAGGGAAAGCGCAGGGAAACCCACCATGTTTAGGGCCCTGTACAGCGGGCCGGGAGGGTGGTGCCTGTCTGTTCCGGGTACTCGCCAGTTTCCTTGGTCCTGCCAGGCACCAGGCTGGCAAAAATTGGATTCCAATTTTTGCCAAAGAAGGGTCCAAGCAAGCAAACGCCCAATGCGTTAGGCAACCAAAAAAACATTTTTTGCCAAACAAGAGTGCAAGAAAGCACACGCCATATCCGTTACACTTCCCGTTAGGCAAGGTGAGCCTCTACTGGCTGCAGAATGGCGACGGCCACGAGTTCTTGCAGGCGGGCCATGAAGGTTCTCCAAAGGCTAGGGGCAAAATTTCATTGGGCTCTCCTTCTTTTTTGACCCCCCCCTTATTTGTTTTCCCCCCTCCCTTTTTCCAACCCCCCCCATTGAGGGTAGCAACCCAATTGGGGCTGTCCACCAAATCGGGGTTCCTTTTTGGTGGCCCAAGAAGCCGTTTGCGGGGGCCGCGAATCGGGAAGCCCTTCGCCGAGCTCGGGCGGCCCACGTGGAAGCCCTTCGCGGGGCTTCGGAAGACTTCCATCGAGGTCCCCCGAGTCCCATGGGAACTGACAACATTTGAGCCACGGCCTCAAAACCTGGGTAGATGAAGGTTGGTAAGGGACGATCCCAGCCAGAAATAGCTGCGGATATCCGCCTTCTTAGTTCTTGACGCATGGTTCTGGGTAGACCATTTTAGTACCAGGTTTTGATTGCGACTCATTTGGGGTGTTTCTCAAAATAGCGGTTAGTACCCTGTTGAGAAGACAAAAGGCAATGAAGCCAAGCACCTGGAGAGGGGCCTGAAACACCAAGACACACCAACAACATGGCGTTTCGGTCTCGGGTGTGCAACCGAAACCGAAACGCCGGCCTTGGGAAAGAAATGATCTCGCTTTCCACCAGCTAACATGGCTTTGTGCACAGACCCCTGAAAGTCTACTGAGCCACGGCCTCAAAACCTGGGTAGATGAAGGTTAGTAAGGGAGAATCCCAGCCAGAAATAGCTGCGGATATCCGCCTTCTTAGTTCTTGACGCATGGTTCTGGGTAGACCATTTTAGTACCAGGTTTTGATTGCGACTCATTTGGGGTGTTTCTCAAAATAGCGGTTAGTACCCTGTTGAGAAGACAAAAGGCAATGAAGCCAAGCACCTGGAGAGGGGCCTGAAACACCAAGACACACCAACAACATGGCGTTTCGGTCTCGGGTGTGCAACCGAAACCGAAACGCCGGCCTTGGGAAAGAAATGATCTCGCTTTCCACCAGCTAACATGGCTTTGTGCACAGACCCCTGAAAGTCTACTGAGCCACGGCCTCAAAACCTGGGCAGATGAAGGTTGGTAAGGGACGATCCCAGCCAGAAATAGCTGCGGATATCCGCCTTCTTAGTTCTTGACGCATGGTTCTGGGTAGACCATTTTAGTACCAGGTTTTGATTGCGACTCATTTGGGGTGTTTCTCAAAATAGCGGTTAGTACCCTGTTGAGAAGACAAAAGGCAATGAAGCCAAGCACCTGGAGAGGGGCCTGAAACACCAAGACACACCAACAACATGGCGTTTCGGTCTCGGGTGTGCAACCGAAACCGAAACGCCGGCCTTGGGAAAGAAATGATCTCGCTTTCCACCAGCTAACATGGCTTTGTGCACAGACCCCTGAAAGTCTACTGAGCCACGGCCTCAAAACCTGGGTAGATGAAGGTTAGTAAGGGAGAATCCCAGCCAGAAATAGCTGCGGAGATCCGCCTTCTTAGTTCTTTACATGGTTTTGGGTCGACCATTTTAGTACCAGGTTTTGATTGCGACTCATTTGGGGTGTTTCTCAAAATAGCGGTTAGTACCCTGTTGAGAAGACAAAAGGCAATGAAGCCAAGCACCTGGAGAGGGGCCTGAAACACCAAGACACACCAACAACATGGCGTTTCGGTCTCGGGTGTGCAACCGAAACCGAAACGCCGGCCTTGGGAAAGAAATGATCTCGCTTTCCACCAGCTAACATGGCTTTGTGCACAGACCCCTGAAAGTCTACTGAGCCACGGCCTCAAAACCTGGGTAGATGAAGGTTAGTAAGGGAGAATCCCAGCCAGAAATAGCTGCGGAGATCCGCCTTCTTAGTTCTTTACATGGTTCTGGGTCGACCATTTTAGTACCAGGTTTTGATTGCGACTCATTTGGGGTGTTTCTCAAAATAGCGGTTAGTACCCTGTTGAGAAGACAAAAGGCAATGAAGCCAAGCACCTGGAGAGGGGCCTGAAACACCAAGACACACCAACAACATGGCGTTTCGGTCTCGGGTGTGCAACCGAAACCGAAACGCCGGCCTTGGGAAAGAAATGATCTCGCTTTCCACCAGCTAACATGGCTTTGTGCACAGACCCCTGAAAGTCTACTGAGCCACGGCCTCAAAACCTGGGTAGATGAAGGTTAGTAAGGGAGAATCCCAGCCAGAAATAGCTGCGGAGATCCGCCTTCTTAGTTCTTTACATGGTTCTGGGTCGACCATTTTAGTACCAGGTTTTGATTGCGACTCATTTGGGGTGTTTCTCAAAATAGCGGTTAGTACCCTGTTGAGAAGACAAAAGGCAATGAAGCCAAGCACCTGGAGAGGGGCCTGAAACACCAAGACACACCAACAACATGGCGTTTCGGTCTCGGGTGTGCAACCGAAACCGAAACGCCGGCCTTGGGAAAGAAATGATCTCGCTTTCCACCAGCTAACATGGCTTTGTGCACAGACCCCTGAAAGTCTACTGAGCCACGGCCTCAAAACCTGGGTAGATGAAGGTTAGTAAGGGAGATTCCCAGCCAGAAATAGCTGCGGAGATCCGCCTTCTTAGTTCTTTACATGGTTCTGGGTCGACCATTTTAGTACCAGGTTTTGATTGCGACTCATTTGGGGTGTTTCTCAAAATAGCGGTTAGTACCCTGTTGAGAAGACAAAAGGCAATGAAGCCAAGCACCTGGAGAGGGGCCTGAAACACCAAGACACACCAACAACATGGCGTTTCGGTCTCGGGTGTGCAACCGAAACCGAAACGCCGGCCTTGGGAAAGAAATGATCTCGCTTTCCACCAGCTAACATGGCTTTGTGCACAGACCCCTGAAAGTCTACTGAGCCACGGCCTCAAAACCTGGGTAGATGAAGGTTAGTAAGGGAGAATCCCAGCCAGAAATAGCTGCGGAGATCTTAACTTCTTCTTACCTTTCACAAAATAGCATTTTGGGTCGACCATTTTAGTACCAGGTTTTGATTGCGACTCATTTGGGGTGTTTCTCAAAATAGCGGTTAGTACCCTGTTGAGAAGACAAAAGGCAATGAAGCCAAGCACCTGGAGAGGGGCCTGAAACACCAAGACACACCAACAACATGGCGTTTCGGTCTCGGGTGTGCAACCGAAACCGAAACGCGGCCTTGGGAAAGAAATGATCTCGCTTTCCACCAGCTAACATGGCTTTGTGCACAGACCCCTGAAAGTCTACTGAGCCACGGCCTCAAAACCTGGGTAGATGAAGGTTAGTAAGGGAGAATCCCAGCCAGAAATAGCTGCGGAGATCCGCCTTCTTAGTTCTTTACATGGTTCTGGGTCGACCATTTTAGTACCAGGTTTTGATTGCGACTCATTTGGGGTGTTTCTCAAAATAGCGGTTAGTACCCTGTTGAGAAGACAAAAGGCAATGAAGCCAAGCACCTGGAGAGGGGCCTGAAACACCAAGACACACCAACAACATGGCGTTTCGGTCTCGGGTGTGCAACCGAAACCGAAACGCCGGCCTTGGGAAAGAAATGATCTCGCTTTCCACCAGCTAACATGGCTTTGTGCACAGACCCCTGAAAGTCTACTGAGCCACGGCCTCAAAACCTGGGTAGATGAAGGTTAGTAAGGAGAATCCCAGCCAGAAATAGCTGCGGAGATCCGCCTTCTTAGTTCTTTACATGGTTCTGGGTCGACCATTTTAGTACCAGGTTTTGATTGCGACTCATTTGGGGTGTTTCTCAAAATAGCGGTTAGTACCCTGTTGAGAAGACAAAAGGAAATGAAGCCAAGCACCTGGAGAGGGGCCTGAAACACCAAGACACACCAACAACATGGCGTTTCGGTCTCGGGTGTGCAACCGAAACCGAAACGCCGGCCTTGGGAAAGAAATGATCTCGCTTTCCACCAGCTAACATGGCTTTGTGCACAGACCCCTGAAAGTCTACTGAGCCACGGCCTCAAAACCTGGGTAGATGAAGGTTAGTAAGGGGAATCCCAGCCAAAATAGCTGCGGATCTCCGCCTTCTTAGTTCTTTACATGGTTCTGGGTCGACCATTTTAGTACCAGGTTTTGATTGCGACTCATTTGGGGTGTTTCTCAAAATAGCGGTTAGTACCCTGTTGAGAAGACAAAAGGAAATGAAGCCAAGCACCTGGAGAGGGGCCTGAAACACCAAGACACACCAACAACATGGCGTTTCGGTCTCGGGTGTGCAACCGAAACCGAAACGCCGGCCTTGGGAAAGAAATGATCTCGCTTTCCACCAGCTAACATGGCTTTGTGCACAGACCCCTGAAAGTCTACTGAGCCACGGCCTCAAAACCTGGGTAGATGAAGGTTAGTAAGGGAGAATCCCAGCCAGAAATAGCTGCGGAGATCCGCCTTCTTAGTTCTTTACATGGTTCTGGGTCGACCATTTTAGTACCAGGTTTTGATTGCGACTCATTTGGGGTGTTTCTCAAAATAGCGGTTAGTACCCTGTTGAGAAGACAAAAGGAAATGAAGCCAAGCACCTGGAGAGGGGCCTGAAACACCAAGACACACCAACAACATGGCGTTTCGGTCTCGGGTGTGCAACCGAAACCGAAACGCCGGCCTTGGGAAAGAAATGATCTCGCTTTCCACCAGCTAACATGGCTTTGTGCACAGACCCCTGAAAGTCTACTGAGCCACGGCCTCAAAACCTGGGTAGATGAAGGTTAGTAAGGGAGAATCCCAGCCATAAACAGCTGCGGATCTCCGCCTTCTTAGTTCTTTACATGGTTCTGGGTCGACCATTTTAGTACCAGGTTTTGATTGCGACTCATTTGGGGTGTTTCTCAAAATAGCGGTTAGTACCCTGTTGAGAAGACAAAAGGAAATGAAGCCAAGCACCTGGAGAGGGGCCTGAAACACCAAGACACACCAACAACATGGCGTTTCGGTCTCGGGTGTGCAACCGAAACCGAAACGCCGGCCTTGGGAAAGAAATGATCTCGCTTTCCACCAGCTAACATGGCTTTGTGCACAGACCCCTGAAAGTCTACTGAGCCACGGCCTCAAAACCTGGGTAGATGAAGGTTAGTAAGGGAGAATCCCAGCCAGAAATAGCTGCGGAGATCCGCCTTCTTAGTTCTTTACATGGTTCTGGGTCGACCATTTTAGTACCAGGTTTTGATTGCGACTCATTTGGGGTGTTTCTCAAAATAGCGGTTAGTACCCTGTTGAGAAGACAAAAGGAAATGAAGCCAAGCACCTGGAGAGGGGCCTGAAACACCAAGACACACCAACAACATGGCGTTTCGGTCTCGGGTGTGCAACCGAAACCGAAACGCCGGCCTTGGGAAAGAAATGATCTCGCTTTCCACCAGCTAACATGGCTTTGTGCACAGACCCCTGAAAGTCTACTGAGCCACGGCCTCAAAACCTGGGTAGATGAAGGTTAGTAAGGGAGAATCCCAGCCATAAATAGCTGCGGATCTCCGCCTTCTTAGTTCTTTACATGGTTCTGGGTCGACCATTTTTGTACCGATCGGTTTTGATTGCGGCTCGACTTTCCTCTTGAAAGTTGGCCTTTTGGCACCCCATGTTGGTTGGTGGGAGGGTATCGCTTTCCATCAAGCCCAGCCATCCGGTTCCTTAGCCTTTTAGCCTAGTGTTCAGTGGCAGGGTTTCCATTTCACCCACTAACAGTTAGTCACTTTTAGCGGGGCTCCTCAAAAGATCTCCATTTTGCCACCATTCGACACCTGGCTTTTTCAACACCAAAACCAAAGGGACGCCACGCGATTTATAAGTTGCAATGTGCAGGCGTTTTTTTGATGCCTCCGGACCCCTGTTCGGGGGATCGGAAAAACGGGGCCCAGCCAAAGGCGATCGACCTTGATCCGCAGGAAGCCTCGCAGACCGTGGGCACCTGCGCCCACCTGTGGCTTCAAGGGATGGAGAGGAGTCCGCTGGATCCCTTCCGGTGAGATGGTCATTTTCTCCGCTTAGGGAGAGGGTTGCTTGGAATCCCATTTCGATTTGGGGGGCGTCCAAGTTGGGTTTTCTAAGGAACAGCTTCACAGGGATACTTCCATTTGCTGAAATGAAGATTGTTTTTATTTTCCCTGGTTTGTTTTAACAGGAATTTATCACTACTGGACATGTATTATTCTTATTATTATTCTTATTATTATTATTATTTTTCTTATTTTTCTTATTATTCTTATTATTATTCTTATTAGTATTATTATTATTATATTATTATTATTATTATTATTATTATTATTTCTATGGAACCCTAAGGCATGTTAGGGGACCTTCAGGAAATTGTAGGGCTCTCAACTCCCCCCCCTTGTACCTAACCCCCCCCCCCCGAATGGGATTCCATAGGGGCAGCTGTCACTTTGGCCCCACAGGATTTCCCGATCGGAGGAGACACTCGGAGTTTTGACCATGGAACCGTCTCCGCCTCCCGGGCCAAAGGGCCACCCGGCCGCTGCCCGCGAGTCGAGAAGCGCGAGTCGAGAAGCGAGCGACAGAACGCCCGCGGGGTTCCAAGAAGCTGCGGCCCAGGAGCCATGTTCCACCCAATGAGCTCTCGATATTTCGGTTTGCTAATTTTGCAGCTGAAGATTTGTGTGTGGGGGAAGGGGGTCAAGCACCTCCGACGCCAGGAATCTGGACCTTCAATTTGTTTCGCGAGCTGCATCGCTCGCTCGCCCGGCCTCGGGCGCTCGCTCTCCGCAGGGGCACCAGGTTCTGCCACGCCAAGAGGATCCTTCATCGGGATCTCAAGCCGGGGCTCCCGGCTTGAGAGCGGTCGCTTGAAGTGAATTCGGTTCCACGACGGAAAAATAGGCGACAGAAAAATCAACGGCAGAAAAAAGATCGGGTACCCTTATTCTAACCTCTCTACTGGAGGACCTAGAGAAGAAATATGACAGTTAAGCCTTTTTCAGAGCCCATTCATCCCTAATATCCTTTTTTGTTGTCTTATCCTTGAGGGGAATGTTCCCTCGGAGGCTTGACTACAGCAAAGATGCGGAGCCAATGGCGACGATTTTTGTGGAGTGGACCTTCTGAGTCTAAATGGATACACAAATCGGGGGACCCTTCAAATTGGGGTGCGCTTGTCTCGTCAGCTGGCGTTTCCCTCCCAGAAAATCAGCGTTTTTTGAGGGTCTCTGCCGTATTTTTTACGCCCCGCACGCGGCGCCTCGCCGCCTCGCCCGGTAGGCCGCAGAACGTGCTGATCGACCGCTCCGGCACGCGCCTGAAGCTGGCGGACTTCGGGCTGGCCCGCGCCTCTTCGGCCGCGAGCTTGGAGGACCATGCGGGGAGGGCCAGCCCAAGCCCAAAAACACCCCGAGATCGGACAACAAATAAAGCGGAGATCGGCTTGGAGCCCCAAGGAATCCGGCCAACAGGAGGTTTTTAGGGGGTCTTTGCAGAGTGCACCCGGCTGACTCCGGCTGAAAACGCGGCAAGGTGCCATTGCGACCTTACACCCACGAGGTGGGAAGCCGTTGAAGCGGATCGAGTTTTTTGCAGCGAAGCGAGCGAAGATCTGTTTCGAGGTACTCAGCGCGTCAATATTGCGGGGGGGGTGGGGGGGGGGGGCAGAACTTCAAAGAGGCCCCTGGCGCTCAAGCGTTTGGTGTGGTTTTTTGCCTCGGTACCTGTCTGGGGAGATTCTTTTAGATATACTATCACCACAAGTGCGAGCTGGTTTACAGGCCCCGTTTGGCTTGATCTCCAAGGTTTGGGGGGTTGGGACAAACCTCACGTGGCGTGTGGCGCTGGCTGGCCGCGCTGGAAGTTTCGTCGTTGCCAGGTGGTGACGTTGTGGTACAGGGCGCCAGAGCTGCTGCTGGGGCCCTGCACGTGACCCGAGCATAGGTGTCCTTTTTGGTTGATTTGGGTTGAAACATAGAGGGCCCTGGTTTACCTGGTGGTTCAATCAACCACCAGGGACATCTATTTTCCCAAAAAGGACACCAAAGGACCCGAGACGTTCTTTCTTTTTCGGGGTCCGACGAATGCGGAATGCGGCGCAAGGGGTGGGTTGTGAATTGTCCCTTGGCTTAAAAGGTGACTTCTTGTCTTACCGTCTTACCCAACCTTTGGGGCATCTATTGGCTCAAGTCTGAAGATCACCGTTTGCTATTGCATGAGCATCCAACTCGGGAGTGATGTTCAAAGGGGACATGGAACGAAGCTACTCTTGGTTCCCCGAACGTGGAGCTTGGGGGTTGGTCCCTTGCCCCAGGTTGGGATTTCTGATCAATCAAAGCCGTCGTTTGGGGACCTGTGCCTGTTGAATTTCTTGGAATTGTGTCTCAACTTGTTTTGGAGGGGTACTTATTTTAGGTGTTTTTTTCCCGCTTTTGGCTTCTTGGCTTTTTGGCTTCTTGGCTTCTTGGCTTTTCGGCTTCTTGGCTTCTTGGTTTTTTGGCTTCTTGGCCTCTGGGCTTTGCGGCTCTATGTTGGTTTATGCGGCTTTTGGTGGCTTTTTGGCTTTGGTTTTCGCATCCTCTGCATTCCCAGTTCCTCTTCGGCAGGTCGCGTTTTGGCTTTTGCACCTTTTTGGATTTGGCTTCACCAGTTCCTCCCTATTTGAATCATCACTTCTTCGAAAATCATGGGGCGGGAAGCCCCCCCCCCAACCCACCCGCTACTGTTTAGACTTTTTGCAGAGATTGAATTGCACCCATGTTCGAATCATCACTTCTGCGAACATCACCCCTAACCCCCCCGCTACTTTTTACTTTTTCGAGCTTCCAATTTCGCGAGAAAATGTAGGTAATCTGTGCAATCCATGTATGTCTGTATGTATGCACTTCTTCGAACATCATAGGGCCAACCCTCCCGCTGCCTTTTAAATTCTATCGCACCCTTTCTTGAATCATTGCACCCCTACTTGAATCACCACTTCTTCCGACATCATGGGGGGGCTGCCGCCCCCCCCCAACCCCCCCGCTACGTTTTAGATTTTCTACAGAGATTTAATTAATTGCACCCCTAGTTGAATCATCAATTCTTCGAACATCATGGGGGGGGGCTGCCGCCCCCCCCAACCCCCCCGCTACTTTTTAGACTTTTTGCAGAGATTTAATTGCACCCCTGTTCGAATCATCACTTCTGCGAACATCATAGGCAACCCCCAACCCCCCCGCTACTTTTTTTTTTTTACAGGGACTGAAATGCCCTCCTATTTGAATCATCATTTTTTGACCCCATCAACCCAGCTACTTGTTCGATTTTGTTACCCACGATTTGTTGGTGATGCTAGGGATGTTGGTCGGACATGCGGGGGATGTTGAGAACGATGCTGGGGATGTTGACGGGCTAGTGTAAAATGCGTCAATTTCGCGAGAAAATGCTACAAAATACGATATATTACTGGCCCGGACGAAAAACGGGGTGGAAAAAAAAAACGAAAAAAGTTCCCAAAATAAATCCGCACCCAATTGCTTTATCCGGTGACTTGGAGAAGGGGTGGTTCATGAAGTGACTTGAAAACCAGGGGTGGTTCATGAAATTAGGGATCCAACTTGAGAAGTGGTTCCCAGAAGCTCAAGAAACAAGGACCTCGGGTGTTTAAGTCTTTCGGGCAATCCTTTTCCAGAGCATGTGGGACGCTTGGAAGGCTTTTCCATACACCTGTCCACTTCCATGGTCAAAATTGGGAACGACAAATTGTGGTGACGTCATTTTTGAGTTCCCTTTCATCATGCAATGATTTGGGGCGCCCCTCCGTGGAGTGCCCCCCTCGCACCTCAAGTATATGATTTCAGTCAGACAGGGCACTCCTGAACACATTAGCGAGACTGGCGGTCCTCGCTTTGGATCCATCCCGAGACCTCCGATCCGCGAACCCGCGGAGCCAGCCGCAGGTATGCCACGCCAACGGACATCTGGTCCTTGGGCTGCATCATCGCGGAGATGGGCACGGCTCAGGCGAACGCCCGAATCGGATCGGCAGGCTGTGGGCACCAGCGGGGCAAATAATTTTTTGGGCTAAAATGGGCTTTGGCTTGGAACCTCAGGATGGGCGTTGGCACAAGGGACACATATCATATCATCTTGTAGCAGTTGGCCGCGCCTTGAGGAGACCCAAAGAAAAGTGCCCAGTTTGAGGGTTCCCCTGTGAATGTGCGAAATCCATGCCGAGCACCAGTTGGGATGGATGAAGCCCAATTGGATTAATTACCAAGTTGAAGCGGATTTTGTCCACTTTGTGGAGACACCCTCATGTGATTGTTATGTCCCATGCAGGGCAAGACTCACGCGGGACATGAATCTTCAGGTAACCCGTAGTTGGTGGTTTGGATTCGTTTGGTTTTGGATTTGAACCGGCTTTTTGTGGAGGGCAAATGGTTGAACTTCCTGCGTTTCACCACCGATTCCCACCGATTCGGCAGATGAAAGCTCTGAGGTCTTATTTCCCGGCGACAGCCAAATAGCCCGGCGCTCAGCTAGGGATCGGCGGGAGGCAGAGGTGTCCTTGTGGACATGGCCCAGCCAGCAGAACCCATTTGCGCGCGTTTGCAGGGGAAGTGGTCTGTGCCCGTTTGCTCGTCCCGGAAAAAAAAGAGGAACCACAACAGCCCAAAAAAAACAGCATATCCATATCCCCTATTGGAAGATCCGTGGGTTACCACCAGGGTTGGGCCAAATGCTCAGGTAACCTAAAAGGACACCCATACATCCGGAGCGTTCCAAACCGGAAAGACTCTTTTTGTTGAAAACTGCCAGTGTTTGCTTTGAACATCCGGCCCAAACTCAGCTGCATCACTGGCTCCGACACGTCTGGACTTGGAAGATTGCAGCAAAAGCCCACATCCTCCTAGGAAAGGAAGGCTTTCTCCCTTAGGACATCCCCCAAGGAAGTCTCTTGGCAATTAAAGGGAGGGTTCCCTTGGGGCATTTCTGATTGGGCGAGGGAACCCCCAAGCCAGTGGTCTTTACGTTTTGGTTCCTTGTGGGGTTCTTGCATTGGGCCATGAGGCTTGGGCTCCCTGGAAAGGCAACGAAAGGCGCTTGTTGAAACAGGTGTTTA